TAGAAGGGACTATAAATAATCAATTGCATCACCTTTTCAATTTCTCATATTGAATGATGAATTGAATCATATTAAGAATAATGAGTAGTGGGGATATGAAAAATAGATAAATATGATGATTGACATCCATTATTTCATAACAATGTCTATATTTAATGTTATTTGTAAAATTGATGTATGAAGAGATTTTTTTTCGAAACTAATAACAGGCTTAATTTTAATGTCTATGTTTATAATAATAATAAAAAGTGAGACTTCTATTCAAGAAATTTTATTTAAGTAAAAAGAGCTCTAATTGATTAAGCAAATAATCTCGAATTTGAATTTTTGTATATACGTAAAACTCTTTGGATAGATATGTCTATCTTATGTGTCAAAAAAGGATTAGTTTGACTTTTGAACCTAAGATACTTTGAGGAAAAGAAACAAAGGTACTTCTTTGTAAAATTGACGTAATTTTTTTCTAATCAAAGATACATTAATGTATTTGTTCTTTCGTTTTCCTAGTTTGTAGCCAATATAATAGCAACCAATAAAAGAACACTCAATTTGCTAATTATTTTCTTTTACACGTGGATAATCAAAACGATTTTAATGGTGGACATAATGGAAATACAACTGAGACTCTCATTTTCCCAATGGCATGTATGCTCTTTCTTTCACCCTCTCTTTTTATTTATTTTCTTTATAAATTTTATTTAATACACATTTTGGTGAAATTTTCTATAATTTTTTTCTTTACATTCATTTTTAATTACAGATAGTGTGTAATTTTTAAGTTTGTTCTTTTTTTAATTACAAGTAGTTCTAATCTATTTGTTGGTTGAACTAAATCTATAATTTTTAATAAATAAAAATTATTCTTTGTAATAAACCACCCCAACGCTTCGGTAATCGGCTAATAATATTATATAGAGAGCACTTCTTAATTTTTATGGCAATTGATCAGTGCATCATTATTAAGTTATTTAATCAAAGTCTCAGTCGTTTCTATTTCTGGCCGTTTTTAATGCCAACTGAATTGCAAAGAGAGAGATCAAATTAAAGGAGAGAACGAAACTTTTAATTGAAAAACATTTTGCTTTGCATGCGACATTAAACAACAAATAATATTGCATCTGGAAAAAGAAACTAAATTCAACAAAGTCGGCAAAAGATATGCAATATGGTTCACTCTCGTCAATATATATATTATACATTTTATAGCAGTCTTGCTGCTTTTCCCAATAAGTGATTAAAGTTTTCAGGTGGATTAGAATTTCAATCTTGCAGGTAAAGTATGAAAAGCAACCTGCTACCTAATTGATACGGGATTAATTATCTTCAAGTGGGTTCTAAAATATTAATTAAATAAGACTCATGTTCAATTTTATTTAAGGATGGAACATTCTTGGCAAGCTACCTAATGCAGGATTAATTATTTACAAGTAGAGATTATTATATTTTTCATAATCAACTAAATCCAAAGGAATCCAATGCATAAACTGTCTTCAATCAAAGACTCGAATCTCCACACCAAAAATTAAACACTCAATCTCAGCCTAATTCTCCTTCCCCGCAATTCCTTTGATTTTGTCTTTGTTGTTGTTTTTGTTTTTGCTTTCACCATCTTTCTGATATCTTTACACTCACACCCTTCGCAAACGTTCATCATGGAGGCAGTGGCGGTTCTCATTGGAACAGCATTTCTTAATAGTGCTATTGATCTTTTGGTCAAAAAATTGAGTTCTCCTGAGGTTCTGCGCTACTTCAAAACCCAGAAGCTCAACGATGGACAGCTGAAGGACTTGAAGGCAACAATGAGATCTGTTAACAAGCTACTAAATGATGCGGAGAATAAGCAGATCGCTGACTCGGATGTGAAGGATTGGCTCCATGAGCTTAAAGATGCTGTTTATGAAGCTGAAGACTTCTTCGATGAGATTGCTTATGAAGGTCGACGATTGGAGATTGAAGCTGGACCCGGTCAAAGTCAGACCTGCACAGATCAGTTCCGAACCTTCCTCTCTTCTGTAGTCCCGTGCAAAAAGGGAACGGGGGAGATGGTTCCAAAGTTAGGAGAGATCTGCGAGACACTTGAAAGTTTGCTAAAGCAGAAGGATGACCTTGGTCTGAGAGAGGCCATCCGAGGAAAATCACCGTTTCAAACTGTTCCGAAAACTTCCTTGCCAGCGGACTCTGAAATTTTCGGTAGAAATGATGATCAGGAAGCCATTGTGAAATTGTTGCTATCAGATGATGCAAATGGAAAAAACATAGAAGTCATTCCCATATTGGGAATGGGTGGGATTGGTAAAACCACAATTGCTCAGCATGTCTCTCGTGACAGTAGAGTGCAAGAGGGTTTTCACCTCAAGGCATGGGTCTATGTTTCCAAAGAATTTGATTCTCTCAAGATAACAAAAGATCTTCTGAAGGAGATCGGCGTACCCAATTGTGATTCCATGACTCCAAATCAGCTCCACCTTGAGATAGAGAAGAAAATCAAGGACCAGAAAGTTTTGCTTTTTCTTGACGACGTGTGGAATGACGATGCCACTAATCAATGGAGCTTTTTACTGACACCTTTGAAGGCTGTGGGAAAGGGGAGTAAGATAATTGTCACAGCACGCAATCATAGCATAGTATCAAGCATGCAAAAAGCAGCATCAGCCTTCTTAACTGTTTCAACTTTCCGTCTGAACAAGTTAGATGACGATAGTTGCTGGGAGTTGTTTGCAAATCATGCATTTCCAAATAACAGTTCTGATGCACATCCATGCTCAAAAGAAATGCGAGAAGAAACATTGAAAAAGTGTGATGGCCTACCTTTGGCTGCAAGAACACTCGGTGGTGTCTTCTCCACTGCAGATGCCGGAAGATGGGAGAAGATCATGAAGAGCAATCTATGGGATCAACCAGATGATGATATTCTTCCAGTTCTTAGATTGAGCTATTTTTGCTTGCCATCACATCTGAAACAATGTTTTGCTTATTGTGCTGTATTTCCGAAGGGATATAAATTTAAAAAGGAGGAAATAACTCTTTTATGGATGGCAGAAGGTTTCATAGCCCAATCTAAAGGTAGTGAGAAGTTTGAAGTGATAGGCAACAAGTACTTTGATGATCTTGTATCCAGATCATTTTTTCAACAATCAAGTACTGGTGGTGAATCAGCAGGCTTCATCATGCATGATCTCATAAATGATTTAGCTCAAGATGTCTCCGGAGAATTTTGCTTCAAGTTAGGGGATGGGAATTCTAAATATGAGCATGGCTCGCAGGACGACTATTCATGCAAGCTACCTAAAAAGACTCGTTATCTGTCATACCTATCAGGATCAAGATTTCATGATGTCTTGAAGATTTTTGAGTGCATCCATGGATTCCAATATCCTCTGCGGACCTTTTTGCTACAAGGACAATGGTTGCGAGCAGGTTTTGCCAACGAGGTATTGCTTGATATGTTAGTGATTCTTAAGCGCTTGCGAGTGCTATCTCTGCCTTACTCTCATGATTTAAGCCAGTTGCCTGATTCAATTGGCAACTTGAAACACTTGCGATACCTTGATCTCTCTCGTTCATCAATAGAAAAGTTGCCTGAGATCGTGAGCAGCTTGTACAATTTGCAAACACTAATCTTGTACGGGTGTTTCAGTCTCGTCGAGTTGCCAACCAACATGTCTAAATTGGTCAATTTACATCATCTTGATATATGTAGGACAAAATTGAAGGAGATGCCACCACAAATGGGAAAACTGACAAAGCTTGGCAAGTTAACAGATTTCTTTTTGGGAAAGCGGAGTGGATCCGGTATTGAAGAATTGGGGAGGCTCCAGCATCTACAAGGAAGACTAAGCATCTGGAATCTCCAAAATGTTATGAATGTTCTAGATGCTTTGGAAGCCAATCTGAAGGGTAAAAAGCAACTCGAGAAGCTGGAGTTGCGATGGAATGGTGATACTCACGACTCACAACACGAGATTAAGGTATTTGAGAGCTTGGAGCCGCATACAAAAATGAAAACACTTGAAATTCGCGGCTATGGGGGTACAAAGTTTCCAGATTGGGTAGGAGACTCTTCTTACTCAAACTTAGTATCCTTGACGCTCTATAGATGTAAATTCTGCACCTCCCTACCACCACTTGGGCAGTTGGCATGTCTTGAAATGCTCTGGATTAAAGGATTTGATGGAGTTGTGGCTGTTGGTTCTGAGTTCTATGGAACTGACCCTTCGATGGAGAAGCCATTTAAATCCCTCAAACTGTTAATTATTGTTTCGATGCCAAAATGGGAAGAATGGAATTCAAATGTAGCTGGTGCTTTCCCTCTTCTAGAAAAGGTCCGCATAGAAGGTTGTCCCAAGTTAAAAAATGCCTTGCCTAGTCACCTCCCATCTTTGTCGACGTTTCAGATTATAGAATGTCCAATACTTGTGGTTTCAATTGCAGTGGCTCCCAATCTCACTACATTTTCCGTGAAGGACCACTATCATCGCAGTCTTGAAAGTGCATGGGTTTCGTCAACTGGGATGTTGCATCTTAAAGTTGGAAGAGATTATTTATCAAAGGGAATGGAGCAAATCAGTGTTCCTTGCCATTCCACTTCTTTACAAAAAATTGAGATCAGTGATTGTAGGTCATTGAAGTGCTTCCAGCTGGAGTTGTTTCCCAAGTTAGAGACGCTTGACATCAAAAGTTGTGAAAGTCTGGAATCCCTTTGTATGGGCGAGGGACCTCTTGGTGGTTTTACATCCCTTCGTTCTTTGTCAATCTTTCTTTGCCCCAGTTTCGTAACTTTTGCTGAAGGAGGATTACCTGCCCCAAATTTGACAAACATTGTTTTACGGGGTTGCAGAAAATTGAAGTCCCTGCCAGAGAGTATGCATTCTCTCCTCCCTTCCCTTGAGATTTTGGAATTGAGTTCACTTCCAGAAGTTCATTCATTTCCAAAAGGGGGTTTGCCCTATAAATTACAATCACTTCGCATAGCGGTTTGCAGCAAACTCATAGCAGGCTGCATGCAATGGGATTTGCAATCACTCCCTTCTCTTTCAACGTTTGAAATTTGTTTGAATGAAGTTGTGGAATCCTTCCCAGAGGATACACTGTTGCCGTCAACTCTTACTTCTCTTGAAATCAGTTATCTCGATAATCTGAAATCTCTAAACTACAAGGGTCTTCAAAACCTCACCTCTCTTGAAGAATTGAGCATCAGCTACTGCAGCCAGCTCGTGTCCCTTCCAGAAGAGACTAAACAGTACCCCATCACCTCTCTTACAAAATTGAACGTCTACTCTTGCCCTAAGATTGAGTTCTTACCAGTAGTGGCTCTTGCTTCCTCCAAATTACAATCACTTTCAATAAGTTACTGCGACAATCTCACTGCAGGCCGCATGCAATGGGATTTACAATCACACCCTTCTCTTTCACATTTCGAAATTGCTGGTACTGAAGTTGTGGAATCCTTCCCAGAGGAGACGCTGCTGCCCTCCACTCTGACTTCCCTTGCAATTTCCGATCTTGGAAATCTGAAATCTTTAGACAATAAAGGGCTTCAACATCTCACCTCTCTTAGAGAATTAAAGATCTGGCACTGCCGAAGTCTCCACTCCATGCCAGAAGAGGGGCTACCCTCCTCCCTTTCTTCTCTTGACATCTCCCATTGTTTTTTGCTGGAAAAAAGGTGTAAAAGGGAAAGCGGGGTAGATTGGCCCAAGATTTCTCACATCCCCGACATAGTGATTAAGGGGAAGAAGATCAGTTGAGCCAAAAGACAAAACAAGAGTTTGTTCGTCCATTTTGTATTCTTCTTGTTCAAAAACTTTTGAAGTAAAACATGGTGATAGCTGCTGGAATTAAGAGAATTTGATAGTTTGGAAATTATTGAATGGACTTGATTGTTGATAGATACTCATGGCTTTGGTGCGTTGTATTTGGCACCCATATTCTCACTGGTTTTGATGCTCAATTAGAGTACACCTAGAAGTAGAAATCATTAACCTATTTTATACCTGCCATGAACCTGACAAGCACCAGAAACTTTTAATTTATAAATTTCACACTTGTTGACGTTCTTTAAGCAAATTCAATGGAAAACTACTTCTGGATTCCTTGCGGGATTGAATAGACAAGAAATTTCTCACCATATGTAGAACACACATAAACTTACTTCATGAGTAATTGGGTCCCATTTTGAATATCTTTGTGAAAGTTACGTGTTCAGGATTAATGAGATTATTGTAATCACATCAATTTAGTGGAGAATTTCATTTTTAAATGAGATTTCAAATAATGTGTGATTCTGGATTCAAAGCAGAGGTATAAAATGAAAACAAGAATAATTATGAGCTTGCTACTAATGTATATCATCTATAAGTTGGTTATATACCTGGAATTTTCATGAGATATTTAAAAGAACATAAGGATAGGAAAAGGTCAGCTATATATTGAATATACAAGAAAAGGCGAAAGAGACAACTGCCAACCAAGGCTGCAGCAGGTCAGAAACCAGGACACCCAAAATGTTATGTTTGGCCACTATATCCAGACAACAGAACCGAAGCTACAAGAAAGATCCCTACAAAATTGGCAGTCTTGATGTTTTTACAGAATATGAAACCGCAAAAATTTGTAGTGGAAAGTCTTCGTGTTGAATTAAGAATGATGCAAATGCATTCCAATTTTTTACTTTGCCTTTTTCTCTACTCATTTCACAGATGGAATGTTGAATTAGAAAATCTACCAAATGTAGACTCTAATTCATCCTGCATTTCTTTTTCCTTACCTTTTCAGCTGTTGTAAAGGGAAAAAAAAAAATGAAATTATGGCTTGACCTCCATTACATGTTCACAACGCATACACATGCTGCATCACTGAATAGTTTGTAGGAATTAGCAAGTTCAGATGTTCATACTTCCCCTCAGTGGCAAACGCCCAAACAACACTCATATTAATTTAAACAATCAATTTTGATGAAAACGAAAGGACTAGAACTTATAAATTTAACATCCTTTGAATTTGGAAGAGCTTTTACCTCCTCATCCACAAAAGCAAAAGAATCTAAGCAATGTTAAAAGAACTTGTTTTCATTTCAAGGTCCATTCTATTCCACTCTGAAAATTCTGAAGCACATAGATGGATGCCAAAGATATAAAAGAGGATGAATGCTGTTGCTGGAATTAGAGGTCTTCTGTATCCTGCATCTATGTATTTCCAAGTAAACAATTTTTTGCTTCCAAGTAACTCTATAAAGATATCTGCTAAAAAGCACCAAGGGAGCGCCAGCCATTTACAGGGAACAAAAACTACTTATCATAGAATTTATAAACTCTAGCATCATCTACATTTCAAAAAGAATTACCTGTTTGCCAGAATTGTGATGTCCTAATCCAATTATCTATTGGAGAGGATAAGGAGGTTACATCTTGCATCTACTAATGTTAATTCATAATTCAGGCTGAAAAAATATCTCTTCCCCTTCAATATTTTAACCGCTCTGAAACACGACTTTGATTTCAGCCATCTTAACCCTGCCAAAAAGAAAATATTATGCGTTAGCAAAATTAAGAAGATGACACACAGTGATATCAGGAAAATAACACTGTCAAGCGCATAATTGTTATGATTAAAAGATATTTTTTGGTCTAAACTAGTTCGGTCCACGTCTTGAAATTTCCCTACATGCAAGTAAGATTTACACCAAGCCAATCAGCCAAAAAAGATACGAACACGTTAATAAAGTAAAGAGCGAAAGGATCGGAAGGAAAAATGCTGATACTGTTTTCAATAGCCTACTAGTGAAACATCCACATGGTAATCCACATAATAACACAATCATCACAGTAATTTCTGATATAAAGTATCATAAAGGATCCACATTCCACAAGAAGGCATTATAATTATGGTTATAAACTATTAAATATTTTTATTTATTGTATCGTAATAATTTATTTTACCACTCAATAACTTAACTAATTATTTTGTAATTATGCTAATTATGAATAATATTATATAATTAAGACTTAAAAATTACATTGTTACCTTTAAAAATATATATGTTATTCAAAATCATAACAAGTAAGTGATTATAAATTGTTAAATAGCTAGATTCAATTAATGAATCGTTAAAATTATTATATCTTTTGGTAATTTAACTAATTGTTCGGTGATTACGCTAGTTATGAACAATTAAGTATAATTTCAACAAAAAAGTTTCTTGTTATCTTAAAGAAGAAAAAAATTATTTAAGTTTTAATTTAAGTGATTAGCGCTGGTAAATATTTATATTTATCATTGTAAACATTATTATCATAATACGTTTTTCTACCTTTGTATTGAATAATTTAAGCACTTCTATGAATTACGTCAAATTTATTCAAAATATGTCTAACAAAATTTAAAAAATGCCATTATTCTCTTGTTTTATTAACGTGTCCTTCATGTTTTTCTATTTTTCATTTATTTATTTATGCATTTTTTTCAATAATTGATTGTTTTTCTTTTTAAATTAAATTCAAATAAAAATTTATTGTGTATAATCTTTTTCATTACTTTAAAGAAAAATCAAGCACGCTCAAATATTTATTTTAAATTATTTTGAAGAAACGTACAATGACATAAATTATGGAAAAACTATCATCCTACAAGGAAAATGAAAAACTAACATCAAACTGATGACATAAAATTAAATTCAAATATTCTTATATTTTGATAAAATTTATTCGAAACACATAAAATGCACGTGGAAAATTAGAATTTAATCTTAAAAAAAAAAAAAGTCCTTCATGGTACATTTAATTCATTAATTAATTCTCCACCTGTGCATACCCTGTAAGAGCTGACCATTGAACACGGATAGTTGAGAGATAAGGCGCCTAATTTTTTTTATTTTTATTTTTTTCAAAAGTTAGTTACAGCCTGCACGCCTTGTGAAGGAAGGAGAGCGGGAGAAACCGTTATTTACTGACGTGGATTCTACTCATAGAAACGACACCGTCTTCATTTTGGTACTAACAATGATATCTGCCCCCTCCCAGAAACACATAAAATGCACGTGGAAAACTAGAATTTAATCTAAAAATAAATTAAGAAAAAAACATGTCCTTCAGAGTACATTTAATTCATTAATTAATTCTCCACCTGTGCATATCCTATAAGAGATAGCCATTAAAAACAGATATATGAGAGACCTGGCGAGTAATTTTTATTTTTTAAAAAAAGTTAGTAACAACTTACCAGCCTTTTGAAGGAAGGAATGCGGGCGAAATCGTTATTTACTGACGTGGACCCTGCTCATAGAAACGACACCGTCTTCATTTTGGTACTCATAATGATCTCTGCCCCCCTCCCCAGAAACTTTGAAACGGAGTGTCGTTTACCTTTCCTTAATCAAAATCTCAATCTTTTTATAAATTGCTCAAATTTTAAGCAATGGCAGCCGGCAGGTGTGTTTACTTGATCAGATTTTGGGGTAGAGATGACTTTAACTGTTTCTGGATCAAAATTGTCATCCATTGATATATTTCTTAGCCTTGTAAAGATTCTTGACCCTGATTCAATGTCCAAATTTCAACTATTCTCATGTTTTTTCTTCGTTTTATGGCAGTAGAAAAGGTGTTAATAGGTATTTATTATATTGCCTTTATTTTATGAGATTGACACAAACAGGCATGGAATTGTACCAGAGGTTTAATTCCTTCAATAAAGTAAAGCTTATGACCTTTTCCGTATGACCAAAATAAAAGAGATCAGTAGAAACAGCTAAGAAATTTAATTTCTAGACTTGTTATCGAGGGGATGCAATAATTGAACCCATTAGTTGAAAGAGTCGTGATGACTTTAATTAGCTTGCAGAAGTTGAGGATCATGGATAGAAATATAATTTTGGTATGTATGCATTTCTACATATGAGAGCTTTCTTTGAAAGATGGTGTTTATCAGTTTTGTGATGTGCTTATGAGTGTTTAAAACAACTAAAAATTATTTGGTTAAATTTTGTTGTTGTGCTTTAGGTTATGGGATTGCAGAAAATTATCTTGGTAATCTGAAATCTCTCAACTACAACGGTCTTCAACACCTCACCTCTCTTGAAGAATTGAGCATCCAATCCTGCAGAGAGGAGACTAAACAGTACCCCATCACCTCTCTTATAAAATTCAACGTCTGCTCTTGCCCTAAGATTGAGTCCTTAATAGTAGTGGGTCTTGCTTCCACCAAATTTCAATCACTTTCAGTAAGGTCTTGCGACAGTCTCATTGCACGCCGCATGCAATGGGATTTGGAATCACACCCTTTTCTTTCAAATATTAAAATTACAGATGAAACTCTGTGGGTGTAAATTTTCAACTGAATTGCAAAGAGGGAGATCAAAAGAAATTTCTCACCATATGTAGAAAATCCATAAACTTACTTCATGAATAAGCGTGCATAAGCATGCTGACATAAACGTCAGAATTTGCAAGATCAATCACGCTGCACATCACAATTTTGGCAAACAAACATTAAAGTTACTGCAAGTGAAACTTGAGTTGGTTATGTTTTGGATGCAAATTCAAACACCATAAACAATCCACGTTCTTATAACTTAAAAATTGACCAAGAAACTAATCAGAGCTGAGCACAGCGAATCAGTTATCCAGAAGTATGATTTGCTACTGAACTTGTGGATGAGTCCTGTTAACAGAGATGACAGGGGTAACATAGATAATCAGTACGTCAGATTATTACGGTCCAACTACAAATTAACTGCAGAAAAATGTCTGAAAATGTCATGTCATAGCAATGATATATGTGGCAGGTGATTATAACTTTCAAAATAAATGCCATGGATTAGAATGACCAAAATATCAAGTTGTAAAAGAATTCCTCGTGACATTTATATATATAAAGCCGGAAGGGAAGGAAGGAAGGAAGAAATGCAGTTCTAAAATTTTGAAAATCGTAGCAAAGGCATTCATTTCGAGGTCCATTCTATTCTATTCTGAAAATTCTGAAGCACATGGATGGATGTCAAAGATATTATAAGAGAAGATGAATGCTTAACCCTTACTAATTGTTCTTAATGTAAGGTGTTGTTTAGTAATAAAGAATAGAGTGGTGTGAATGAAAATGAAAGTTATATTCTCAAATTGTAGCTATTTGATTAAAAGGAATGAAATGACAATGAGAATGAAGAGTGGAAATGGGAATGAAAATTTACACACAACTTCATTCTTATATAAGATGTGGAAATAAAAATAAGGAATGAGAATGAATTTTTTTAAAAAAATAATAATATATTTTATTTATTTATTATCTATTAACTACTTTTCCTACTATTATCACCATCACCACCAACAAGCATCACTACCATCACAAGCACTACCATCACCACCACAAGTACTACCACCCTTACCACTAGAACCACCATTGCTATAACCACCACCATCACTTTTATTATTTTTACAAACATTATAGTTTCATAAAATTATTTTTTTTAATTATTATTTTTATTTGTATAAAAAACTAGATATTAAAAAAAATTTAAATTACATTCCGATTCCTCGTTAATATTCCAAATACAATATAAGAATTCAAATATAATTTAGATTTCTTAATTTTCATTCCGATTCCTTAATTTTCATTTCAATTCCTACATTCTCATTCTAGACCTTTCATTATCGATAACCAAACGACACCTAATTGTCATCATTTTTAAGATTTGAATGGAATTCTATAGCTAATCAATTTGCTAAAGAAAAATGTCAACAATCCTAAAATATTAGTCAAAATTAAAATTTGGCATAAAATTTGAGTATGACACGTCACAAGTTTTTGGCAAAAAATCTTTTGTGAGAACAATAGGCAATCAATTTTGCGAAACACTAGCAACGTAGACAATTTTTCAAAAGTTAGTTGCATGCCGCGCGCGGGAGAGGGAGTGAACGGGTTTATGCTGACCTGGGCTGCTTCTTATTACTAACGAATACGATGGCGTTTTGGTGGTACTAAATAACCCTCCTCAGATTAGGATCACTGCAAACTCAATCCTCAAACGTTTTCATGATTTCTATTTGAGTATCTCAACTTTATAAAATTATGAATCACAAATTAAATCTTTTATCACGCATTATCAAAAACATTTTATTTATTTTTTTACATGTGAAAAAAAAAGTGGCTAGCAAATTAAATTTTCTAATTGATCCACATAGAAAAACAAAATATTAATAAACTAACCAATTAAATAATTCCATATTGAGTGAGTTTTTTTTTTTTTCCTTAAATTGAAAAAGTTAACCTGAGGTGACAATTTGAATGAGAATTATTTCATTAAGGGAAAAAAAAAAAAAAACAAGTGAATATAAAGACTATATTTAGGGATATGCAAAGGACCCCAAACAAACTGCACTTTTTCAATCTCATGTTATCCCAAAGACTTTGACAAATGAATACACTATTAGATTATCAAACTATCAATTCGAAGATCCTAATTAGAGGAAATTAAGAAGATCGAATATTTTATGATTTGTAATTTGATTCGATTTATTATCATATTCTCTTACTATATTCACTATATGAACAAGTCACATGTAACAATTGGACACTATCAATCAATACAATTCTTCCATTTTAATTTTCTAAACAACTTTAATGCTCAACATACCATCAGGCCTAGGATTAGGCTATTTCCAATATGAACCAGAGATGACAGCTGAAACCTTGGCAATTTATGGTAATCCAGATTCAAATATGATTCTTCTGCCAAATCTCTAGGCTAACAAGCCAAAAGGATACCAATTATCCCACTAATGATACGTTTTTGCCATTACCCACTTCAAGCACTATAAGATTCCAAACTAGATTTTTAAGTTTCAAGATTTTCCTCCAATTCCAGCTACAATCATTTGGAATTTTAATCTCCCAAATACTTCTCTCTCTCAACAAATATTTACAACACCAAGCGACCCGCAGTGAAACACTTTTATGGAGAAGACACCAGATATTTTTAGCTATAGAGACCATATTCCACCGTTCAAGCTTCTTAAGGCCTGGGCCACCTTCTTGCTTAGGAAAAGTTACAAAGTCCCAAACTACTTTAGCACCCACAGTAGATTTATCTTCACCACTCCATAAGAACGCATTACATTTCCACTCCACTTCTTTAATAAACCCTTGAAGGCAGAATAAGTATAGAATCACAGGCGAATATGTTTATGTCCACTTGAAGATAAATAATTTATCCTACATTAGGTAGCTAAGTAAGTCAACTCTTTGTCCTTATTAATCAGCAACCAAGATTGTGATATTGAATTGATTGGAAAAAGATTTTTCCTCATTTTGAATCTTATCCTGTTCTATTTTTTTTATTAAAACGTAGTTATAAAAGAAGGTCTGAATTAAGAAGTTTTAAAGAATAGAAAGACTCAATCAAGTTAAAAAAAGAATAGAAAGCCTCAATAAAAATAAAATAAAATATATGGTTTAAATGTGAGAAAAACTCATTGAAAAATACTTACTTTATAAATCTACTTTGAATAGAGAAAAAATCAAATTCAAACCCATAAAAAATAATAAAAATATTTCTATCTATATTTATTTTTAATTTTCATCTCTTCTATTTTTCTCTCTCTCTCTCTCTTTTTTTTTTTTTTTTTTTGGTATCTATCGATCTCATGTGAAGTAAGTATTGCTAATTACTCTTTGATCATCATGAATTAGAAAGCATTCAGTCTACTACATATATACTTAATTTATATTAACTTACTTGCCAGCTGCATACATATCTATTGAATTGCCGAGAATAAATTATCTGTTATATTTTTGGCAGTGTTAGTCAAGGGACACAAGTCTTTTTTGTTTCTTCTGTTTTATTTTAAGTCCTAATGTTTTTTTTTTTTTATCAGTATTATCTGGTGCAGGCTACAGGATCTTTCAAGTTGGAATATATATATATATATATATATATATATATATATATATGAATTCAGCATTGCACGATTAAGTTTTTTAATCGAAGTCTTAGTCAGGTCTATTTCTAGCTGTACTGTACTCCAATTGAATTGCAGAGAAGGTGATCAAACGAAGACAATGGAGGTTTTAATTATTAAAGAACAGCTTGTTACATAGGCTTAATTACTTATGAGTGACTAAAATATTGTCAAGTGCATATTAGAATTCCAATCTTGCAGGTAATTTAAGTATCAAAAGCCGGAAACCTAATACGGAATCAATTGTCTTCAAATGTATTCTAAAATATTAATTTGTGATTAAATACAAGTACGTGATTGAAAGATATTCAAGTTTATTTAATGTCTTCAAGTGGATGTAAAAAATAATAAATTTCTAATCAGTACTGACTCAGATAGGGACTTAACAGATTTTTTTTTTTTTGAAATGAAAGTTGTGGATATCATATTTTGTGAAATTAAACTAAATCCACATAATCCAATCCATAACTTGTAGTCAGCCCAATTTCTGGATCTCCAACGTACGTATGCTGTGACCTCAAACTGGTTTTTTAACTGAAGATTATCTCAATGATTTTTTTAGTATTAGTAGTTATGTTACGTGCTCTGTATGTGATTTTTTTCTCTTATCTTATTCGAATAAGTGAAATAATAATATTTGTTGATTGTGTCAACGATAAATGACCAAACGATTGTAGTCTCGTCGTTCCAATAAAAACTAATCTTTTTAGGTTATTTCTATAAATGTCTTTCTGGGTTTTTTTCTATTTTCTTCAAAACAAAGGAAGAAAAAATGTTTGTGGTAGTGTCAGGCATGGATTCACTTGATAAAAGAGCAACAAATATGAGAGAAGCACTTCAAAAAAGCCAAACTATTTTATTGATATTGTTGAATAAAGGTTTTGTAGACTTGTAGAAATTCGAAAATGAAAACAACAAAACACAATGCTTAAATTACGTATAGAAAATATCCCTACATTGTCCTTAAAGTGATTATTGCCCCTATTATAATGCTGCAAGAATTTTAATAATTACCTATAGGATTCAACTTTGCTCGCAAGGAATTGCAGACAACACTCTTGAAATTCTTTCAAGAGAATTTCTCTTGAAGTTGTAGAATTTTATGAAAAGAAGAGTTTTAAGAGGAGGAGGAGCGACAAGATTGCGAAAGAAAGAATTAATTAATTTTTCGAGCGGTAGTCCTCTATTTATAGACTACCGAAAACATTTTATAACCAATATGATTATTGAAAAAACTAGTTTGATTCAATGACTAACTATTACTTTTTAACAGATCATATTCTATTTGAAATTAATTAATTATCACGGAAAAATGTAATTAATTAATTAATTATGAATTTAATTTAATCAAAAAGAAAAATACATCCAAAATTAATTAATCAAAAGTGCTAAGTGCTAATCTTTTGATTATTATTATTATTATTACATATATATATATATATATATATATATATATATATATATATATATATATATATATATATAATTTCACCCACTAGCTTCCCTCCAAAGCTTCCAATGTGAGTTCCCTCCAAATCCTTCTAATTTGAAATCAATACAAGAGGCCTACTGATAAAGTGCCTCTTCTTTTCTTTTCTTTCCAATGTGAGATAAACATCTCACTTGAAAACACTCTTTTCACTATACTTAACTTATTATCTATCTAGACCATGTTTTTTCAATAATAATGTTGTTGCAATTCTAGATTCTTTTCATAGTCATCTTTCAGTTCTTGAGACGATTATGTATCTAACTCGAGTAAGCAGATGCAATATTTCCTTTTTTGCTTGATTTTTTTCGAAGTGAGTTTTTTTGGTTCTTGAGAAAGTGAGAAAAGATTGTGACTTTGCGGTTTTTTGGTACCCGATGATAATTGCGGACCATTCCTCCGAAAATCCAAATCTCTTCATAGCCTTGATTAGAAAGGGCCATTCCGATCTGTCATAAGCTTTCGTCATGTCTACCTTGAAAGCCATATTACCTCCATATGTTTTTCCGTCAATCTCCTAAAAGAGTTCATGTGCCAAAGCTACATTCTCATGAATTAATCTCTCTTTTACAAACCCCGATTGCTCATTCAACATAATTTAAGGTAATACCTTACTTAGTCTTTGAGATAAAATTTTGAAAATGATTTTATAAGAGACATTAAATAAACCGATAGGTCTCAAATTACCGTAAGTATTCGGATTTTGACACTTTGGTATCGGAACCATCGTTGTTGCAATTAACGTTGTCAAGATGTCATCCCCTTAAAAACATCTTGCACTCGCTCCGATAAGTTGAGGACTAATGATATTCTAATAAGATGGATAAAAAACAATTGTGAAACCGAAGAAGCCAAATGAGATAATTGATCCTAGTTGTCGGTGTTTAGTTTGGTTTCTTAATTGCTTTGACTTGTTTTTGCTGTTTGTTGTTGATTTATTATTCATTGTTTGGCTTGAATTTGCCATGGCAGAGAAAGAGGTGGAATTCAATTGGTTTGGAAATGATTGATATGTAGTTCATAATTAAAGAGTTAATTTGTCCTATAAGTCATGTGGAATCCTACATAGCATTATCCGTGGTATTTATATCACGTTATGATCCTATTTTCTACGCCACATTAGTTGAAAACTGATTTAAGTAAAAAAAAAATGTAATCTTGCTACTATGATTACCAAGAGCTTAATTCATGTCTTCTTCTTTTTCAATATTGAAAAAACGTATTAATATGATTAAAAAGTATAATAAGTATAATAAGCTTAAAATTTATTAGTGCTAGTCAAGAGATAGGTTTTTTTTATATATATATTAAAAAAAATTACTCCATACGTGATGAACATCCTTGGCAGGCTACCTAATACGGATTAATTATATACAAGTTGCGATTATCATAATCAACTAAATGCATAGGAATCCGATGTATAAATTGTCTTCAATCCAAGACTCAAATCACCACACAAAAAATCAAACACTTAATCTCAGCCTAACTCTCCTTCCCCGCAATTCCTTTGGTTTTGTTTTTGGTTTTGTTTTTGCTTTCACCATCTTTCTGATATCTTTACACTCACACCCTTCGCAAACATTAACCATGGCCGAGGCAGTGGCGATTCTCATTGGAACAGCATTTCTTAAGAGTGCTATTGATCTTTTGGTCAGGAAATTGGGTTCTCCTGAGGTTCTGCGCTACTTCAAAACCCAGAAGCTCAACGAAGGACAGCTGAAGGACTTGGAGGCAACAATGAGATCTATTAACAAGCTACTAAATGATGCAGAGAAGAAGCAGATCACTGACTCGGATGTGAAGGATTGGCTCCATGAGCTCAAAGATGCTGTTTATGAAGCTGAGGATTTCTTCGATGAGATTGCTTATGAAGCTCGACGATTGCAAATTGAAGCTGGACCTGATCAAAGTCATACCTGCACAGATCAGGCACGAATCTTCTTCTCTTCTCTCATCCCGTGCAAAAAGGGAATGGGGGAGATGGTTCCTAAGTTAGGAGATATCTGCAAGACACTTGAACGTTTGCTAAGGCACAAGGATGACCTTGGTCTAAGAGAGGTCATCGGAGGAATATCAACATTCCAAAGTGTACCGAGAACTTCCTCGCCAGAGGATTCAGAATTTTTTGGAAGAAATGATGATCATGAAGCCATTGTCAAGTTGCTGCAATCAGCTAATGCATATGGAAAAAAATACAAGTCATTCCCATAGTGGGAATGGGCGGGATTGGTAAAACCACCCTTGCTCAGCATTTATACCTGGACAACAGAGTGCAGGAGCCTTTTAAATTCAAGGCGTGGATCTATGTTTCCAAAGATTTTGATCATCTCAAGGTCACAAAAGATCTCTCAAAGGAGGTTGGCATAGAAGATTGTAATGCCATGACGGAGAATCAGCTTCACAGACAGCTAGAGGAGAAATTGAAGGGCCAAAAAGTTTTGATTGTCTTGGATGACGTGTGGAATGATAATGCATCGAACAAATGGGGCTTTTTTCTCGCACCTCTGAAGGTTGTGGGAGACGGGAGTAAGATTATCGTCACAACACGCCATGAAAGTGTAGCTTCATTCATGCAAACGACATCAACAATTCTAGCTGTTTCAACTTATAAACTGGAGGCATTGACTGAAGATAGTTGCTGGTTGTTGTTTTCAAAACGTGCATTTCCCAATAACAATGCTAGTGCATATCCACACCTAGAAAAAATTGGAAGAGAAATAGTGAGAAAGTGTGGGGGCCTACCGTTAGCTGCAAGAACACTTGGTGCTCTATTGTGTTCCAACACAGACGCTGGAGATTGGGAGGCGATGCGGAACAGCAATTTGTGGGATTTGCCAAATGTTGAAGTGCTTCCAGCTTTGAGATTGAGCTACTATAGTCTCCCATCACATTTGAAACAATGTTTTGCTTATTGCGCCGTATTTCCGAAGGGATATAAATTCCGAAAGGAGGAAGTAGTCCTTTTATGGATGGCAGAAGGTTTTATAGTCCAACCTAAAGGTGTTGAGAAGCGTCAAGCGATAGGCAACAATTACTTCGATGATCTTGTATCAAGATCATTTTTTCAACGATCAAGTACTAGTGATTCAACAAGCTTCATCATGCATGATCTCATAAATGATCTAGCCCAAGATGTTTCCGGAGAGTTCTGCTTCAAGTTAGGGGATGAGAACTCTAACTATGAGCATGGGTTGCAGGATGAAAATTCATCCACGCTGCCTAGAAGGACTCGTTATCTGTCATACCCAGCATCACGATTACAAGATGAATTGGAGATTTTTGAGGGCAGTCCTGGATTCCAATATCCTCTGCGCACCTTTTTGCTACAAACAAAAGGACAGCAAGCAGGCTTGGGCAACGAGGTATTGCTTAATATGTTGGTAGTTCTTAAGCGCTTGCGAGTGCTATCTCTGCCTCACTATCAATATATAAGCAACTTGCTTGAGTCAATTGGCAACTTGAAACATTTGCGATACCTTGACCTCTCTCATACACCAATAAGAAGGTTGCCTTATGAGATCGGGAGCAACTTGTACAATTTGCAAACACTAACCTTGCACGGATGTCAAAATCTCTTCGAGTTGCCAACCAACATGTCCAATTTGATCAACTTACAACATCTTGATATATCTTCCACAGAATTGAATGAGATGCCATCGCAAATGGGAAAACTCACAAAGCTTGGCAAGTTGACAGATTTTTTTTTTGGGAGAACAGAGTGGGTCTAGTATTAAAGAGTTGGGGAGGCTTAAACATCTGCAAGGAAGATTGCGCATCTGGAAGCTACAAAATGTTATGGATGTTCTAGACGCTTCGGAAGCCAATTTGAAGGGTAAGAAGCAACTCGAGAAGTTGGGTCTGAGATGGGATGGTGATACTCACATCTCACAACATGAGATTGAGGTACTTAAGAGATTGAAGCCTCATACAAATGTGAAAGGACTTAGAATTGGCGGCTATGGGGGTACAAAGTTTCCAGATTGGGTAGGAGACTCTTCTTACTCCAACTTAGTATCCTTGAAGCTCTATGAATGTAAATTCTGCACCTCCTTACCACCACTTGGGCAGTTGGCATCTCTTGAAAATCTCCGGATTGAAGGATTTGATGGAGTTGTGGGGGTTGGTTCTGAGTTCTATGGTACTGACCCTTTGATGGAGAAGCCATTTAAATCCCTCAAATGGTTATATATTGGTATGATGCAAGAGTGGAAAGAATGGAATTCAGATGTTGCTGGTGCTTTCCCTCTTCTAGAAAATCTCTACATACAAAGTTGTCCCCAGTTAACAAATGCCTTGCCTAGTCACCTCCCTTCTTTATGGAAGCTTCACATTATAGGATGTCCAAAACTTGTGGTTTCAATTGCAGTGGCTCCCAATCTCACTACAATTTCTGTGTATGACGACAACCATTCCGGTCAAATAAGTGCATGGGTATCGTCTAATGGGAAGTTGCATCTTGAAGTTTACGAAGATTCTTTATCAAAGGAATGGAGCAAATAGGTTTTCCTTGTCTTTCCGCTTCTTTACAAGAAGTTATGATCAGGAATTGTGAGTCACTGAAGTGCTTCCAGCTGGAGTTATTCCGCAAATTAGAGAGGCTTGAGATCGAGAAATGTCAAAATCTAGAATCGCTTTGTATGGGCGATGGACCTCCTGGTGATTTTACATCCCTTCGTTCTTTATCAATCTATAATTGCCCTAGTTTCGTAACTTTTGCTGAAGGAGGATTATCTGCCCCAAATTTGACATACGTTCGACTATGGGGTTGCAGCAAATTGAAGTCCCTGCCAGAGAGTATGCATTCCCTCCTCCCTTCCCTTGAGATTTTGGAATTGCATTCACTTCCAGAAGTTCATTCATTTCCAAACGGGGCTTTGCCCTCCTCCCTTTCTTCTCTTGAAATCGTCGATTGTCCTTTGCTGGAGCAAAGGTGTGAAAGAGAGAGGGGGAAGATTGGCCCAAGATTTCTCACATAACCAGCATAAAGATGAGTTGAATGTGCTGTAACTCAGTTAGGCTTTGTAGTTCAGTTAGTAGGAACACAAGAAGTTGAATCTTCAATCGACAGACTCTCTCTCTTCCTCTTTTCCTTCCTCGTTTCTTCTTCTTCTTCTTTTCTTGACGAGATAGATTGAACCAAAAGCCTAGATGAGTCTCTCTTCTGTCATTCCTCCAACATGCATTCTTAGGTATTGCCGATCTCTCATCCGTTGTTATTACTAGTGCCTAGTTCGTTAGTCCATTTCTTCTGGCTATAATAATTGTGGTGAAACTGACACTGATACTGATACTGATACTAATGCAAAAGTTGAATGATTTATCTCATGGTATCATCTACTTCTGTCGGCTGCAAAATATGTTCAACCTTCACTGAAAACATCTTCGCCAAAACTTGTTCAGGTAATTGTAAATCAGGAATCTTGACAATCGGAAATCTCTGTAATATATAGGACTTCACCGCCTCAATTCTCTTGGAGAATTAAAGATCTGCCCTAATCTCCAGCCCATGCCAGAAGAGGGGCTGCCCTCCTCCCTTTCTTCTCTTCATGGATTGTCCTTTGCTGAAAACTGGTGTGAAAGGGAGAGGAAGGAAGATTAGCCCAAGATTTCTCACATCCCCAACATAGTGATTAATTGGAAGAAGATCGATTGAGCCAAAAGACCGAGTAAATTATAAATCAGTCCCTTTAATTCTAAAAAAACAAATTAATTAGTTTTTTTATTCAAAAGCTTATTATTTAGAAATGTTGAATTAGGATATCTACCAAATGTAGACTCTAATTCATCCTGCAGTTCTTTTTTCTAACTTTTCAGCTCTTGTAAAGGAAAAAAAAATTGAAATTATAGCTGCAATTTATTTGACCTCCATTATAAGTTCATAACACATGCACATGCCGATGTGTAGTTCCAAATAATGATCATTATTTAGCATATTTGGGCAATACTCATTACCATGACACGTGGTTATAAAAATCACAATGGTATTTCATATAAATAATGATGATATATGTCATTATTGTTATATAATATTGCTATTTATCGTTATTTGGTGAATAAATGCCATTATTTTAAAAAAATGATTTTTTTTTGTATTTCATTATTATTTGTATGATATTAGAAGTGTTATTAATTTTTTGAATTTCATTATTGTTTGTATGTTATTAGAAGTGTTATTAATTTTTTTAATAATAAATTCAACCATTATTATATGATATTAAATTATAAAAAATATTATTATTGTACTTAATTAATAAAATTATTAAAAATATAAAAATTAGAATAAATTTATTAATAGTTGTTAGTCTGCTAATATATTTATAATATTAATTATCGTTATTATTATTCTATTATCATAATAAGTCTTGATACACAATCATAATAGCAACTATTTTTACAACTACATCCACAATTTAAAGTTAACCAGTGAGCATGCACAAATGTGATGTGGTCGGGGCTCAAAGGAAGACTACCTTAAGTACTTGTCCCCGGCTACCTTGATTGAGTTTTTTTTTTTTTTTTTTTTTTTTTTTTAAGCTTACACCTCTAATTATGCTTTAATTTTGTATGCCTACGTGCGTAAAGGGCGTTTAGCTCAGAGATTTCTAAATGTCCTATTTGTCAGCGTCCTTCAGTCACCGAAAGGCGCAACGTAAAATTTTCAATTCCATTTAGCCTTCTGTGAGCTGTCCCGGCTAGGGCATAACAAGTGCTCTCGCTCGATCCCCAGAGCAAACAGTGCCAAACCACTAAATATTTTGTAGGAATTAGCTAGTTAAGATGCTCATACCTCCCCGTAATTGCAAACCTTGCATAACTTTACAAGGAACCCAAATAACTTGCATTCATTTCAAAGTTCATTCTATTCTACGCTTAAAATTCTTAATCATATGGATGGATGTCAAAGATATAAAAGAAGATGAATGCTGTTGCTGGAATTAGAGGGTTTTTGTTTCCAGCATCTATGTATTTCAGTACTATCCTTTACTTCTAATTGCAATGTAGTTTACAAAGATCATATAATTATGTCACAGTAAACCAAATTCCAACGTGAAACAGAAAGTTTCAAGGAAGATGTAGATGATTTTTTGTTCCCAAGTAAATCTTTAAATATATCTGCTAAAAAGCACCAAGGGAGCGCCACCCTTTTTTTTTTTTTTTTTTCCATTTACAGGGAACAAAAAACTACTTGTCAAAGAAAAAAGAAACTCTAGCACCATCTACATTTCAAAAACAATTCCCTGTTTGCCAGAATTGCGATGTCCTAATCCAATTATCTGGTGCAGAGGATAAGGATGGTTCCATAAGTTAAGTTTACTGCTATCAGCTAATATAGGTTATATCTTGCATCTACTTATGTTAATTCATAATTCAGGCTGAAGAAATATCTCTTCGCCCTCAATATTTTAACCACTCTGAAACAGTGACTGTGATTTCAGCCATCTTAAGCCCTGCCAAAAGGAAAACATTATGCATTAGCAAAATTAGAAAGATGATACACAGTGATCTCCGGAAAATAATACTATAAAGCACGTAATTGTTATGATTAAAAAACATTTTTATGTCTAAATTAGTTCAACCAGTCTTGAATTTTCCCTAGAAGTATGATTTACATCAAGCCAATCAGCCAAAAAAGATATTATACATCAATCAAGTAAAGAGTGACATGAAGGAAAATGCCGATACTGTTTTCAATAGCCTACTAGTAAAACTTCCACGTAGTACTCCACAATCATCACAGTAATTGCTGATATAAAGTATCGTCCAAGCAGCCCCCGAGTAAAAAGAAAATCGATAAGAAAGAAAATTTACTCATTAGTCATCAGTACGTGTATAGGCATGCCGACATGAACATCGAATTTGCAAGATCAGTCACACTGCACATCCCAATACTGCCAAATAAACATTAAAGTTACTGCAAGTGAAACTTCAGCTGGTCATGTTTTGGATGCAAATTCAAACACCAGAAAGAATCTATATTATTATAACATAAAACTGACCAAGAAACTAATCAGACCTGAGCATTGAGAATCAGTTATCCAGAAGTATGATTTGCAACCGAACTTGTGGATGAGTCCTGTTAACAGAGATGATAGGGAGATCAGGTAACATAGATAATCAGTACATCAGATTATTACAACTAATAATTGACTGCAGAAACATATCTGAGAATGTCATGTCATAGCAATGATCTTTGAGGGATTATTACTTTCTGTTATGACAAATATTGGAAATAAGACAAGTAATCGCAGGTAATAATAAAAAACTAAAGCTAATAAATTATCAACACACAGGATTTACGTGGTTCGGCAAATTGCCTACTCCACTCGTGAAAGGGAAGTTTTATTAGCTTTATAATAGGAGAATACAAGAATCCTAGAAGCTCAATAAAAAAATCTATCTTTCACTCTATTTCCTAAACAGAGATAGAGGTTTAAATGCCTCATAATAAAAGAAAAAACCTAATAGACTAAATATATTATTAGCCCATAAAATTCAAGCCACACACAACACTTCCAAAATGAACGCCGTGGATTAGGATGACCAAAATATGAAGTTGAAAAAAAGAAATTCCTCGTGACAGAAATATATATAACAAAGAAAGAAAGTAAGGAAGTAATGCAATTCAAAATTTTTGAAAATCGTAGCAAAGGCATTCCACATATGTGACATATATTTACAGATTACAACAACAACAGATTCAAGTAGGTAAGGGAAACAGAATGTATAAAGCTTATCTAAAATCACAACAGAACAGAAGAATACGAGTAGCAAAGGCACTCTACATACGTGACATGTAATAACAGATTACAACAATAACAGATTCAAGGAGGTAAGGGAAACAGAATGTATAAAGCTTATCTAAAATCACAACAGAAGAAATTCAAGTAGCTTCAAGAACACACCTGGTTATAAACATTAGCATCCATCTGTACCCCATTATGATGCATCGATGGCTGGAAGAATGCAGGGTCATGTGTAGTCTCATACCTTACCTCAAGTGATGGACTCGGTTCCCTATCTTTCGCTGCAAACATAGAATCACGGGCCTCAGTTTCCAGTAATATACAGAAAGGATAAAGCAGGCTTGCAGATAATCATCACAGAGAACTTAGCTTACCAAGTGTGATCAGATTGACATGTTAAGAAACAGTATTGGAATCTTCTGAAGCCTTCCTTTTAATCTTCGCCGATTTTTGCTCTGTGAGCCAACATTTGTTACCCCCACCAAACTCAATACTGGAACATCTGACATCGATGTTTCATCAAACAAGCAATGCACATCCTTGATATAATCAGCATGATTGTCATGAATAGATTCATCTCATTCCTTTCTACTGAATCCAACAAAGTTTGAAGTTGCTAGATCTTTCTCAACTAACCGTAATGTCTCTACCAACTTTTCCTAGGAAATCTTTGTTGAGCTAACTGAGAGTGCATCATCAATTCTCTGAGACGCAATGTCACGGTTGATTTCCTATTCCTCTGAGATCCCAATACCAGCAAATTGTTTTTTGCACCTTTTGTCCAGCTCTTTAATATGTACTGAGCAGGTGTCATAGAGTAATTTTGCAAGTTTAGTGCTCTTATAGCATGACGACACAACAACCCCATGGATTCGAACATTTTACAGCTACACATAATAGTACAATCAAAAGAATTTAGATGTACAATGTAAGGTCTTTCTTGCCCATCTTCATAAAGATTGTAACTACCGTCCCATAACCACTAACTTCTTCCACCCTTAGTCCTAATGTATTTAAAAACTCCTTTTCATACATCTTGAACATTTTGGCAGTATATAAATCAGCTGCATACTCTAAAATACCAACGCTCGCTTGAAGAAGAGGTGCACTTTGCTTACAAAGAAAATCATCTTCCAGCTCCTGTGAACGCATTCGGTCTGCCACTTTCTCATTACGATGCACGTATTTTATAAGATCCATCCTTTTATTCAACCGATGGTTAAAAATACCGTCTAGACTCTGACTTCTTTCAATGGATTTGAACTTTGCTGAGAAGGTATCTAAGTTAAACAGGTGACACCACTTCTCCCTATGTTCATGACTAAAGCAATGAACTAGGTTATTCCAAGCATTCTGATATTCAGTCTCGTTTAAACAACCTTGAAAACACTGATTAAAGTACTGCTTGAACTCTGGAGTTTCATACCCTGGCCCAAGGTTTTCTTTGGCATCTTTCAGTATGTGCCACAAGCTTAAATTATGATGACTCTCTGGAAAGCCATTTCAATGGCCTTCGACATTTCCTCTCGTAGGTTTGTAAAAATGGTCCTGGGTTGCTGCTGCACCATTGACTCCAAAAATGTTTCGAACAACCAAGTAAATGAAGCAACACTCACATCCGACAATAAGGCAGAACCAAACAACAAATCTTCACCATGATGGTTAACCCCAACAAATAAAACACATCTTAAATTAGACTTGGTTATTTTAAAATGTGGCATCACAAACTGGCACTTCCCCAAAAAAAATGATAGTTTTAACTTTGATCTACCATCTCGCCAAAACAAAATTTTCATTCTGCATTCTTTGTCCATCTCAAATGTGGAAAAAAACATTGGATCCTCTAGTTGCTTTTTCTTGAAATGATGTATAACACGCTGCCAATCCATTGCTTCAGACATATTCAACCGATAGGTGTGCAAGCAATTGCAGCATTCTTGCCTGTTAACCTCAATATTCTCAGCCAAAGCCCCAGCCTTCGAGTTAGTGCCACCTTCATTGGCAGCTGCTAATCTCCATCCTGACCTCAGATTCCGTCTCTCTTCTGCCTTAGCAAGTGGATTGTTGTTCCTAGCACACAAAAGGAACATAATTAATCAATAAGATTTGCACAATAAAAAATAAATTTATTATAAATTAAAATAAATAAAGAATTAGAACTTTTTATCTTAATTTTTAGAGAATTCGGTATTAAAATCACGTTACCTTATTTTAAGATATAAAAAGGAACGTACCATTAAAATAGTTTTAGCATAATTTTTAGATAACCGACTCGAGATATAACCAAGTTGCATGATACGTGTCATCCGTAGAATTTATCCGATACAACGAATCAAAAATATATTACATGTCATCTCAAGATACAACAAACTCAGCTATCTTATCATGTCTTAACAAATTTACACTATTTATAAGACTTAAAACTCTAAAAATAATAATACAGCTCTTGCCTAAAATAAAATAAATAAAAATTATATGTCCTTATAGTGGGAAATTAAAAAAAACACAGAAATGAAGATTATTTTTCTTTACTAGAAAACACTGCTATATTTAGCTCAACAAACAAGAAAGCACGTTGATCTCTTTAGTCAAGAGAAACACGTATATATGCTGCATATTGCTCTTTTTTTTTTTTTTTTTTGGTGCGTTATCAAATAAACAATAGCATCTATATATAGGCATGATAAACGATCCGTTACATGTGTGATGAAAAAATAAATGCAATCATTATTTTTCAAACATTAAAAGCAATTAACACTTATTAAATGGTAAGTAACTTATTTTATAAAGAATGAAGAATTTCTTAATTGATTAAAATAATATAACTTTTGTAACAAATGTATTTTAATCTACCATATTAAATAATGCATTGAATACTTTATTATTATTGTTATTTAATAATAATAAGTATAGTATTCTATATTTTATTAAAAAGTAATCCAACATGAATGATTATGATCAGGATTGAAGTAAGCAATCTTATACACACCATCTTCCACATTGAACCGGACACATGCCTCACAACCGGTTCTTGCATCCAACCTATCAACCTTCTTAACTGGATAAGGGTAATCATAAGGATTAAAACCCTCGTTTGAACACACATACTCACGCTGCCTAAAAGCTCCAGTATAAGATCGTGGAATTTTCGCTTTTCGAATACTCAAGCCCTTACGAAAAGCATAGTCATTGTATAAATTATAAGCTTCAAGTTCATTATTCACTTGCATACCCACTTTGAGTTCTTCATTATCTTCTTCTTGGTTCACACTACTAACACAACTTTCGGTCTTATCCATCACCTCTAAACAACCTGATTATACAGACTTTGCAAGTTATTGGACAAAATGTTCTTCAAAACCAAATAAAGATGCAATCTTTTCAAAGCATATGCAGCAAAACCAAGCACCTAATAATATCTAAAACTCAAAAAAGCTATAATAATCAATCCTCATTATCGTTAACCAATTGAATTCTAATACAAAGTCAATATCATTATAAATTCTGAAATAAACCCAGAATTTAATAGTCAAAATTCCTATTTGCAAAACCAATCTCAATTCAGAAGAAAAGGGACCAAAAAAGAAGCTTCATTTCATGTTAAAAAAAAATCCCATGAAATGTTTTCTTTTTTAACCATAAAGCAGACTAAAACTCCAATTCTTGTTGAAGAAAAAGAACCTTCTTTTTCTGACAATCATTTTGGATCAACAATAAGTGTGAATCTAATGGAACGTTTGAATAGAAAAAAAAATTGTTCTGAATAAAAAAAAGGATCATGCATTTAAAGAAAAGAAATATTTGTGTGTGTTAAAAAAAAAAAGATTAACAGGGAAACTGTAATAAAGAACAAGAAGACCAAAGAGAAATATTACGACATCTTGTGAAGGGCGGGAAGTGAAATATATTGAGCAAAATGCAATTTATAGATTGATTATACCTTCTACAAGTTACTTTCTTAGGGTTTTTTTATTTGGGTCAGAGAAGTAGCATTCAATTTTACCACTTGCTAGTTTTCACTGCTTTTTCTCTGGGAAAATATTTATTTTATGCAATAAGTAGAAAACATATTAGGATGGTTTTTGTATGTTTGTTTGAAAGCATTACATTTACAGTGCACAAATTACCAGCTATTAACTATCTTTACTTATCATGTAAAAATGTATTTAATTATGTTATTTGTGAATTGCATAGTGATATTCTGATTCAATAAATGTTATTATCTTGAAAAAAATAATATCATACATTATAATATTCGAATTGTTAAGCATATTTACTTCTGGCAACATAAAATTTATTTTATTTTTCGTAATTTAACTAGCTACACAATAATTATGATAATTACAAATAATCAAATATAATTTTCACACAAAAAAAAAAAAAACCTTCATTATCTTAAAAAAAATGTTATTTATTTCGTAACCAATAATTTTTGAATAATTATAAATTAATAGTATACATTGCAAATTTTATCTTATATCTTCGAAAATTTGGAAAAAAAAAAAAAAAAAAAAACATTAACCACAGCAACCACCGGCTCAAGTGAGGAGTGGAATTGTTTATTATATGACAACATTGAAAAATTATTGTAAATATTTTTCTTGGTTTTATTATTTGATAATTTTCTTGTCTCAATTTGTACACGTCAATGAAAAATCATTGAATCAATCTTATCTTTGATTTCCATGAATTTAAATAAGGAATAACTACACCAGACTACCAAAAAACCTCTAAAAAATACAGTTTCCAAATCAGTCTCATGATATTTGGTCTGACATCTGCCCACAAGGCATGATAAATAAATCGATCAAAATCTTCCATCTATAAAACAAAAAAAAAAATAATGCTATATATTTCTCCGAATAAATTATAAATTACTCCTTCTAGCTTAAAGAAAAAAATTAATTAGTTATTCTTGTTTTAAAAATTATTATTTAATCTTTTTACTAGAGTTGATCACACTCGTTTTATATTATTTTATTCTAAAAAAATCATTTCTTCATCATTTTTACTTATTTTTTTCTATTTCTTATAATAAAAAATTAAAATAAATTAAAAATGGTAAAAAAAAATAATAAGTTACAAGTAGATTTAAAAAAATAGGAACTAAACAATTAGTTATTAAAATAAGAAGGACTAATTAATTGATTTTTCAAAACTAGAGGGACTAAATTATAGTTTACTCATATTTCTTCCCTTATTAGGGAAAGATTATAAAAGTAAATGACAACAAGGCGAAATTATGGGAGCTAATATCCTTTGATAAGGAAATGTAGACTCCAATTTTGAAACAACTTCTCCAGTCAACTTATTTATATCCATACATTCATACACCAAGGCTTTTCCGTCTTTCTCCATATCGTTCTGGCGTTTCGTTCTCTTCTTGCTTTTTCTTTCCTCCAATCATTCCCTATTTTTTTCTTCGCTGAAGAAGTCTTTGTTAGTTGTTGATTATCAACTAGCACCTTCTTTGCTGAAGAAGGTTTTTGTTGTTGATTATCAACTAAGTAACACTATCATGGCAGTGCATCCAAGCTTGTTCATATCAGTGGCATATAGGGTTTGGAAGGTTCTAAGTGACTTGATCTCTGTTTGCTTTATTGTTGCCGATGGTATTGCTGGCTCTCTGAGCCAACAACGTCAGGTCAACTCCGATTGAAATCTTATTTGTCGGTGGCCCATAGGGTTTGGATTTTGGAAGGTTTTTGGTAGTTGGTATTGAAACAATTTAATTTTTGTTTCTGCTAGTAATTCTGTAATCCCAGTATTTATTCACTTTTTTTTTTTTTTTTACTTCAGCAATAAACCTGTGATGTGAAAAATATATAGCAATACGATAGATTCTTTGCTATTGGAAATTAAAAATTTTTTAGTTTGAGCCGTAAAACGATAAAAAAAAATTTCTGATGAGGCTGGGGCCAGTGCCGGCAGGATGGGATGTTAATTTTGCAGATAGGATAGCGGATCTCATTGTGCGAAAATAGAGAAAAGAGAAGCTTATATGCTAAAATTTTCAAACCAGGAAATATTTTAGTGCCAAATCCTCAGAGAAAACTCTAATAAGAGTGCTACTCTTGACACTCGAATGTTAAGCTTCCTTCAATTACTTGAGAAAAATTCGAGTTGATTAACTGAAATCCATGGATGAAAGTTGGTACAACTCTCAGAATGGAACATGGGGCAAGGGCAAGGAATTTTGTTATCGTTGCTGTTCACTTGATTGTGCTAAGAAACAGGAAATTGAGTACATCGGGTTGCCAAATTCTTGGTGTTTCTGATCTAGTTTTATTAGAGTTATTAAAAACCTTAGCCACTTATACCAACTTAATTCATGCATTTTCTATCCAAAAAAGTAAAAATAAATAAATCATGTTTTAACCATTAGACTAATTAATACCTAGAACTTAATTCCACATATTGAATTATATGGATGCAAAATTGCCATTTTCACAATTTATAACATTATTAATAGAAAAGATTGTACAAAAATGTTATGCTCGATTAATGCTGTCTCAAGGTATACAAGAATTTACTGGTTTAATCGTACATCGGGGATGGAAAAGGGGTAAAACGATAATCAATGAGAAGCACTAAACATGACTACAAGGCAAAAAGAAAATTGGGCAGAAGCACTAAACACGACTACAAGTTATGTTAGTATGAGCACAAGCAGCAAGGCATTCTCTTTTCTTCGAGTCCTAGGCAGCTGCCCTTCCATGATGCAACAATGGTTCTACTGAGGTGTCTGCGAATGTGGTGGTGGACCGGGTGGTAGTGGTGGAGGTATACCAGACTGATTCCCAGACTGCAATTAGGATTAACTTAAGTTAGCTCTTCTTGAACAAACATAAATGTTGCACGCACAAGCCTCCTAAAAACCTAGTAACATGTAGAATTCTGTCCTGACACTATCATGTTCGTTACTCGTAAGAATCACAAACCATGATATATGCAACCCAGCAAAAAGAAACTGCATAACACAAGCAAATAGAATTATGCAAGCTTACATCAACAATTTTCCTCCTCGTATTTTAATAAAATTGATGTGATCTAAAGTCACTAGAACTCTATAAATTTTGCACAATTCAACACACTGTAGGCTTTAATAAGAGAAAATTATCTCAACTTTGCATCTTCTATTCTACCAATCATAGTAATCAAACTTTTAGGAGTACACTACCGTATAAAAATGCTATACATAAAATATTTTGAGATTACTGAGTACATTACATTATAATGTTGCCATGACAAAGTCATCCTAAAAGAATGTTAACCTCAGGAAGATCCCACCATAAACAAATGGTTGCTCACCTTTCAATATCATTTGGTTACCAAAAATGAAATATCCAGAGTGAAATATCTGGTGAGAATGCAAGAATAGAAATGATATTCGCATATCAATACTATGTTTGAAATAGTAATAAGAAATCAAAATAAAATTTAAAATTTTTAATATATGATTTTTAAGATAAATAAGAATAATAATTAAAAAATAATTTTATTAACTATGATAGCAATAACAATGATAGAGGCAATTGCAGTGGTGGTGATGACGGTGGAGGAAGAGGAGATGGTGGTAGTAATAATAGTAGTAGACAAGTGGTATAGTAATAGCAATAATATATATATATATATATTCACATGATGCCACCATAAAAGGTAGCAGTAGAAGAAGAGTGGTGGCACAGAGGTGGCAGAATCATAGTAATAATAAAAATGAATAAATAAATCAAACATTTTTTTCATCACCACCTTTAATGGTGGTAGTGGTGGTAGAAGTAGTAGATATACAATTAATAAAAATAATATATCACTATTTTGAAGAAAAAATCTCATTCACATTATTCGTTTTTATTCTCACCTCCTTTATGAGAATAAAACTATGTTTAATTTTTATTTTCATTCTCATTCTTATTCGCAATTCATGCCTTTCAACCAAACACCTACAGAATGAGAACAAAATTTTCATTCTCATTCTCGCCATTCCATTTCTTGTTACCAAACACCTTCATGTTTATAAATTTTTTACCATAATATGGGTTGGAAGAATGAATAAAAAGGATGTTTTGGATTAAAAAGGTTTGTGCACTAGAGCATCAGAATAGCTAGAATATTGATTAAGAATTCAGTAACCCACAATAGACCTTTTTTTAACCGATATTTTTAAATAGCCAATCCAATTTCAAGGGCTACAGAATGATCCATGTTCAAGTACGTTGTTTATATTGTCTATGGAATCTGAAAATGCCAGCAACAAATTACAAAATACCATTAATTTACAGAGACAGTTCTACACATTTTTTATGCAAACATTGTGAGGGTACATAGTTCACAACAAAACAATGTGAGGTCTATCTTACCTGGTAAGGATTAAACCCAGGCATCATTGGCATCTGTCCACCTTGCGGACGGTTGAATGGACCACCCTGTGGATACATTTGGCCCCCAGTTGCATTTGATGGGCCCTGCATATTTGGCAGGCCATTTGGAAAACCCCCACCAACTGGGGGCTGCACTTGTGGATAAGGATCCCGAGTGAATCGGATTCATGCCCATAAAATGGCCTTGTGACAAAGAAGGTACCATCTGATTCATTGGACCTTGCATCCCCTGAAAACAAAAAGCGCAAAATCTAACATTCAAAATACACCTCATTAAGGAAAGTGCTGAACAAATATAACTAGAAATTAAGAGTTCCAAAATCTTTTCTAAACAAGACCGTGGCCTTTAAACCACCAAGTGTGTTTCTAAGCAGAAGTCAGGGAGCTTTGCATTGTCAGCAATGCAAAGAAACTATTAGAGATAATCTTTTTTAAGATATGCACAAAATTCGAACATTTGGAATCAAAGTGAGAGGGAGATTGAATGAACTTGGGAAAGAAAAAAAAATGAATGAAGCACTGTATCATACCATCGGACCAGGCATGGAAGATGGGATTGGTGAAGGCATGCCATGAGGAGGCATTTGTGGAGGGCGAGGCAGATGGGGATGAGGAAGCAGGGGTCCATGGGATGGAGGCTGTAGCTGTTGCATATTTGGAGGTGGCATGGGCAAAGGAGACATGTGCTGAGGGAGTGGTTGGTGTTGCTGTTGTGGCATCTGCTGAGGATTTTGTTGATAGCCCTGCTGCTGATTGCCAGCAAGGAGCGACGGATGTGGACCAGGAGGAAGAGGAGGTGCTCCAAATGGCATAGAAATGGGAAGAGACTGCTTCTGATCTCCCTGGGATGCATCAAGAGATGGAATTGATAGCGGCATTGCAGCTCCAATACCTGGAATAGTTCCTTCATTTCGAGTCAATCCAGGAGCAAATGGTCCTGGAGTTGTTGGTTGTTCAGGAACAGGGAAATTGCCCGGGAAGCGGCCACCAAGGGCAGGATTTTGCTCACCATAACCTGGTAGAGATAGTAACACTTAAATTAAACAATAAAATATGCTCTTGCATACTAATCATAACATCATTGAAAATATTATAGCTTGAAAATTTTTTGAACATATACACAGATTTTCTGGCCGATGCAACACATGATTGGATTTAATACAAAATATCAATTATGCCACGTTCAGCTTCAACAGTTTGTAAAGCCTAACCTTGGTTTTGACCTAGGTTAAATTTATCACGGGCAGTGTCTCCTGGCCTATTTCGGCACCAAAACTTTGTCGTGTGATCATTGCTACCACTGCAGAAAAGACATGCAGATTTAGTAACTGTGAGATAGAAAGACCTTATAAAAGGGTTATAGGTTAGGATGACAAGCAATTTAATCATGTCGCTTTTCTCTTTTAGTCGTTCACCAGAACATTGAAATACTAATATTTGACATTCAAATCTTTCATGCAAACAAAATTCTTAAAGTTGCTAGAGCCAAGTACTCATTTAGCACAGCCAAGAATTCTCCTTCCCTTCTTTTTAATTGAAAGTTTTCATAGAGCGAGTGCAAAATTCAGCCAAAAAAAAAATAAAATAAAATAAGCATCTTTCCAAATAAAAATATTGAGAAAAGGGCTTCCAATCCCAGAGAATATAACCTAATGGAAACTCCTCAAAAGACCCAGAAGTAGAACAGCATAAATAAGTCAAAAAATCTATTCCATCACACACTTTTTGCTTCAAAAAAAATTGATTCCTTATAACTTTCAAGTTTTCCATGCTTCGAAGGCAGCCTGTACGTCTGTTTTATATTAATGGCCCAGGTTGAGAGCAACTTGGGAAGAAGTTTCAGATAGTGGAGTCTTTTAGATGTTTGATGGCATGCAAATTGAAATACCATTGATTTGTGCCCCTCGCATTGCTCTTTAACAGGTTTACACACCAACTTACAATGCAATAGAACAGAGAATGCGACTTCTGCATAACTAGGGAAAAAAATGTAAAACAGTGATAACTATATTAAACCACATTCAATATTCCAAGCAATGGCTCATGCAACCCTTTTTACTTTCTTTCTAATAAAATTCAAGAAAGGAAACTTATTCGAATATCAGCTCAAAAGGGCAGGAAACCTAAAAACCAGTCAGCTTCCCAGGATATTCAATGAGCTTGAATTTAGAGCATTTACCTGCAAAGAAGATACCCAATAGGATGCCATGCAAGATCCCAAACACTATTATCATGAGCACTGGAAACTTCAATCTGGGGGTTTCATGCCTATAAATCACAGTCATAAGATACAGAAACTATATGAGATTACTTCCACATGTGCAGAAAACAGCACAAATAGCATCAAATGAGAAAATAGAATCAACTGACAGCCAGAAAAAAGAGGAAATAGGATCAAAAGATTGATTGTTTTTAGTAATCCGTCATCCAAAACAACAAAGAATTTGGCAAACGACAAATTCTGCAGAAGAAATCTTAAGATCCATTTTCTTGTTTTCTTAAACAATGAATCAACAAAAAAAAACAAAAACAAAAAAAAAATGATGGTTGGAGGACTCTGTATAGATCCCCTTCCACTGTATGCCTTTAAATTATACAGATAGATATAAAAGTCCCTTCAACCTCCATATACTCATTTCCTTGGAATAAATTTTCCACGCATTGCAAATATTTTAATGAAAAATATATTAAAAACAACATAACATCTATCACCTAATGCATGCCATGATGAGAACTTCAGATAGAAGTTGTGTGTGTGTGTGTGTGTGTGTGTGTGTATATATATAGAGAGAGAGAGAGAGACAACAACATTACCCCACAAGCCAATGGAAAATGGATCCGTCGTAGCTCCCACTGACGAAGTACTCTTCATGGAATGGATGCCAAGCCAATGCTAGAAAAGTTAAAAATAAAACAAGCATGAGAGCAATTTTAATCCATGCTCAGCCAACCGTAAGCATGATATATAAAAGTGGGAAATTCCTGTAACTTTACAAACAACAGCGAAGCATTATACAGCTAAGCTTTATCCTTATACAGTTTGCAATTGTGAAAGGTGTTACTAACCAGTCACGTCCTTCCGATGTCCGCGGAAAGATTCAAGCTCCTTCATTGCCCTTATATCATAAAGCTGCAAATATGCAAAAATTACAAAAATGGACAGGGTAAAATGGGGTCAATATTCAAGCCCAAACCTTTCATAAAAGAGGGCTTCGATCTGAGAAAGAATTTGCAAACCTTGATGATTTGATCTTTTGAAGCAGTCAGCACCCAGTTACCATTTTGGTTCCATTTGACACAAAGCACAGTATTTTTGTGGCCATGACTGCAAAACCCACGTCCACTCATCAAATTTATATAAAAATCCTAAACCAAACCTAAGACAAATCACCAAGAAATTATGTACTCACAATGAGCAAAGCTCTCTTCCAGATTTAGCATCCCAGAGTTTTACTAGGTTGTCTTTCCCACCTGAAAAAGGTCAATTAGCATCATCAAGCACAAGAATGCCAACCTAGAAAGAGATCATGATGTTCCAAAAAAAAAAAAAAATAGGGCAGACCTGAGACTAGTAGAGATTTTGTAGGGTGCCAATCAACACTCTTCACATCCCAACCATGACCTGCCTGAGTTCAAAATGATGCAAAGAAAACTCTTTAGGTTGCTCACTGCAAATATTATGAGCACAGCACACAGACAGTAATCTATGCCATCAAACTGTTTGATGGGGGATAACTAATCTATGCACCAAAAGAGGGGCATAACCACCTGTATAATATAAGTATAATACGGAAGCTAAAAAAGTTTTATCTACTAGCTAACGTTTGCAAATCAAAAGAGTAGTGAACTAGTGCTTGCATGCATCCTAATGCCATAAAATCTTTAAGCAGATATCTCTAGCCCACAAATGGAAGTGTCCTCCCCTTAAAGACCTTTTATTTCTCTCCATCCAAATAAGCAAAAAGAGAACATAAGGAAGCAAACCCATAAATGTTCCTTGTATTAGTCTCTAAACTATCTTTCACAGAAGGAAATGAATGAAAAGGGGTCTTGGGCACATTGCATATTTCAATATTATCAACTTTTCTGACTAAAAGTATGGCATCATATCAAGCAATCTTAATTCAGAAGAATGGAATAAGGGACATCCCATTCAGTACTATAAAAGAATGGCCCCACCTTCCTTCAAAAGACTGAATAAGATAGCTCAACTGAAGAAGAAACCACCCAACATTAGCACCACAAACTTAATATCATATGTTCATTGACCAAAAACACATTACCCGTTAATGAACGCTCTTCATGGCACCGAGCAAAGTCCCAAACTTTAACAGTAGTATCATCAGAGCAGGAACAGAACTTCAAGTCTGTTCTACAGAAACTGTTTGAGAGGTTTACAATAAGAACTTCACTAGCATCACATTTTTTTTTAAAAAAAAAAAAAAAAAAAGGAGAAAAGCTTGAGAAACATGAAGCAAATATCTACCTTAAGTCGCGCACTGATTCTTTATGAGCAGATTTATTGGCCTTAACATTATTCATGTTGCTCTGCCAATACCTAAAACAACATTACACAACATCAGATGATCAACATAGACGAACATAACAGCAACAAAACTATAAGAAAAGTGAAGAACTTATGCAAATTACTTAATTGCACCACCATCGTCACCAGAGACCATCCAATTGTCATTGTGGCTCCATACCATAGACCTGATTGCTTGATCATGAGCCTGCACATAAAAGAACTCCACAAAAATCATGAATCCCATTTCTCTCCTAATTAAAAATCAACATTAAGAGATCATAATTACACACCTGAAGAATCATTTCAAAATTAAATGACTGTCCATTCCAAAGAGTGAATTCCCCACTTTGAGAACCTGTGATTAGACGTCTGCCATTTGGAGTCCACTACAAATGAAGAAAAGGGTCAGAGTATGTTTTACATGATTAAAGAAAAGTCAGATGTGATGAATCCCAAAAGAAAGAATCAAAATGTTTGCCACAATTAAGAGGGGGAAATGGCAAGGAAATTGTAATCTAAAATACATTTGGACCAAACAGGTAATGAATGGCATTCAAACTCATTCCACAATAGACAGCATGCATGTACATGTCTTGCATGTGTATGCAGGTGCACAAGCACAGGCACGCACACTTTTTCTACATTATTAAGCAAATGAAGTCTTCTGCTATGCCAAATAGGAATTGAAGACTACTGCTTAGAAGCCAACAACTTTCTACACTATCACACTAGAACTATAGACTAAGGTCTTAAAAAGATAACTAGTAAATAAATTAAAAGATAGTAGGATAAGTTCAGTGTATGTGAAACACCATGGATCACCAGTCTTCGTCTAACTTGATTAGATTCAACAGGCAATTTGCACATCTAGCAACAACTTTTTTTGTTTTACCATATCGACACAATGAGAGGATGACAATTTATTCTATCAGAATGACACACGTCTAAGGCCTTGTAACAGCAAAGAAGAATAATTCTATGTAAGTAATTTTTCACAATGTCACACACGATTATATATTTGACACCTCAGACAAGTAAAAACTAAGTTTGATAACCCAATGAATGAACTGCAGTATCGTCTGACTCTGAGCCTGAAACAGGCTTAACAGGGTCAAAACATATGGCCGACAAATTCTTATAGGCAGATCATACTACGCCCTAAGAGAAAATATATGCTTATCTATTCAAATAAATAACAATGTCAGGAATTTTATCACAATCTGACTTACCAAAACCCGATTAATCGAACAGCGGTTTTTGTTTAGAGATGTATGAACAAATTTTGCAGTAAAGCTTGTTGATGGATTATCAGAATAGGCAACTGTAGGCAACACCTGCACCAGAGATCAACACATGAAGAAGATTCACACACTAGAAGCATAGAAAGATAATTAGGCAGCTAGCTACTTTGGTCAAGCATGTTTTATAAAGAATAAAGATAAACAATGTTCACTAACATCAATTGCAGCTGCTGGGGTATGTTGCAACACCGTCCTGTCCCTTGAGTCCCGCTGCCACATACGAGTCTGCAGTGACACTGAAACAAAATTACAAGTGACTCAAATAACAAAAGATCTATTGATGCAGGCACCAAGGGGATACCACCCACTTGCAAAGCAAAAGAAACTAGCATGCAATCATGGACTGTACATCATATGAACCACATAGAAAATACATTGTCTGTGAAGTTCAATTTTTTAATTCTTCTTTGTTGGAATACTAGAAGTGCAAAGATTGAAATGACAAGTCCTTCAAAAAGTTGAGAGTAGACTTTTCGTCACAAATACTCTCTTGTTCCACTTCCTTCACGAAACCCAAAATACTAGCAGAGGCATACAAAACCCTGTGATTCTTTTTTTTTTTTTTCATGTACAAAAACGACCACTTCTCCAAGCAATTAACACTCGGTCAAATCAACTAATCCCACCATAACCCAATGAAAACCACTAGTCCTGTACAACTACGAATTAAGAACCTACGCTCATAAGCTTTTACCGCAAGACATAATATAGAAGAAAACAACTACAAATTCCAGATATTAGAATTACAACATAAAAATAGATGCGTCCATCAATTATTCAATTTCAATTACAAGAAACTCCACAACCAAAGAAAACAAATTCCAAAATCCACATTGCTTCAAATTGAGATACATATCACAAAAATTAGCAAGTATCCCAAATTTCAAGCATTACCTGAATGTACCTAACAACAGTACTTGTATAATCAACTGCTCTCCTTTGCGTAAGCTTCCTCATTCTTTTTCCACCATAACCATCACCATGACCTAAAACAACAACAAACAATCAAAATAATCACAAATTTCAATCAAAACTCACAATTTCAGAATTATAATTTAGGTTAAAATTGAAACTTGGTCACTCCAAATAAATCAATCAGGAAAGAATTTCCAAACCCTAAAACACTTAAAAACAACAATGCACTTGAGTAACTAGCTAGCTACCTTCGTAGTTAGGAGGAGGAGGACCAGGGGCGGCCTGCGGAGGGGGTGGTGGTGGTGGTGGTAATCGAGAGGACTAAGAGTGGTTGATGAAGCGGAGGGCTGCCGCATCATCAGCGGTGGCGGACCTCGGTGGAAGTCACTAACAGGAGGCGGTTGCTGTTGCATGTGTTGTTGTTGGTGGTGTTGTTGCTGCTGCTGCTGCTGTTGATGGGGTTGCTGATGGTGTTGGTGCTGCTGGTGCTGCTGGTGTTGCTGGTGTTGTTGGTGGTGTTGGTGTTGTTGATTATCACCACCGTACATCATTTTTAACGGCTAAATTAACGGTTACCGGAGGAGAGTGGAGCGAAGAGTGAAGGGGATAAAGAAATGTAAAACCCTAAATTGGGTTTGACACAGAGAAAAGAAGGAAGCGGGAAAGAAAATTGCGTGTGTGATTGACTGACCGTCTGACCCAATTAGAATGATATAATCAAAATTCTGGGATTCTTGAATTTTGTTGTATTTCTTTTTCTTTTCTTTTTTCCTCCCTACTTCTCAACTAGAGGCCCAATAGATTTGGCCTTATGGGCTGCATGTATCCTTCTCGTCTCTCTCATCTCATCATTTCCTTTCCAGAGTTTAAACGAGTAAATTATAAATTAGTCTTTTTAATTTCAAAAAAAGAATTAATTACTAGGTATTTATTTATTTTATTCGTTTTATATTTCTTTTACATCTATTTTTTGTTCTATTTAAATTTTTTTATTTTTATAAAAAATTAATAAACATTATGAAAAATTAATAAAATATATATTGTTATGAAATAATGAATGTTCATCATCATGTTCATCCAGTTTTCATATCCTCACTAATCATTATTATTAATATGATTTAATTCATCATTCAATATGAGGAATTGAAAGGGCGATGCAATTGATTATTCATAGTCCCTTCCAATTCTCTCTTCAATTTTGAACCCTATAAATAGGCTTGATTGTTCATTAGTTGGTGTACAAATTTTTTAAAGAGAATAATAGAAACTTTGAAGTTCTTATCACTTATATTTACATTATAGTGATTTCATTTTCTTGTTATTCTTTTCTTCAATTCCGGTATCATTACTATTTATTTTATAATACGCTATCGGCATGAAGCTCTAACCAATCAAGACAATAGACCACTAAGGTATGTATCTTAATCAATTGTTTCAATAATTGGATTTCTTCTACACAAGTGCTCTACCAAAAGATCTAAATTATTTAGATCATTAAGAGGTATGTATTTAATTTATTCATGTACTTTAAATCTATTAATACATGAAATATATATTTGAAAAACTTAAATGATCTACTAATGATGTAATATATGTTATTTGAAAAGCTTTAATTTTATTATCATATTTATTCTTATTTTTTAATGTTATTATTATATATTGTATTATAGAATTTTTATCATATCAAACCTCATAAACTTGATTTGGTAACTCTTGATATTTTGAATAAGAATTATTGATTATAAGTGCTTGATTTTGCAAAAATATTCTCTACTTTTTATGTTTTGGATATGCTCCTGCAAGTAGCATATTGAGAAAAAGAGTTTAAGAAATATTTTGAATCGATTATATATTTGTTAGTGGCTAAATAAAATGAAAAAGAATAAATATCATCCAATTGGATCTATTCCATTCCCCGAAGTGAATGTGACAATTTATAATAATTTAAGACATGGATGAAGATATGGTCATAGCCATAGATATGGTCGAAATAATTATCATTATGATCGTAATGACCATAATATTACATCTCACCACCGAAGTAGATAACTATGAAAAAAAGAAATAAAAATAGATAAAGTCAATATTATGAAAAATAAATATTATAGATGTGGAATAAATGAATATTGATCGTGTACTTGTCGTATACCAAAGCACCTCATTAAGGCTTGTCAAGCCTTATTGAAAAATAAATAGTAAAATATGAAGGCCACTTTTATATATTAAAGTAATAGTAATTGAAATTAATTACTTGTTAGTTTTTATATTTATAAATAAAATGCTTTATATTTCTTATAATTTATGTCGTATATTGATGGTTACAAATTTATTTTACTATTTATTTATTTGTTTGTGTTTATGAGGAATATATTGATTTATTTATTTTGTATTAATTTATTTGATTATTTATTTTATGTTAATATTATATATGATAATATCAATCTAATAGAAAGCTCTAGAAGAGCAACTATATTATTATCTAAATAGATAGATTTTGAAGGCTCTAGAAGAGCGAATATATCATGACTCGAAGAGATAAATTTTTGAAGCTCTAGAAGAGTAAATAAATTATTACTTGAAGAGAAAATGTTTAAAAGCACTAGAAGAGTCGATATGTTATTACTTGAAGTGATTAACTTAAAGGCTCCGGAAGAGCAAATATGTTATTATCCGAAAGGATAAATTTATTATCGATGATATAATATTCTCTTCAAAGACTTATAGAAATTTGTTGAGTTTCAAAGATATTCATCCGAATTGATATCATATCAAGATCGCAAATGTGAATACTCATATGTTATAATCATTATATCATGTAGAAAATATCTATCAAAAAATTTATCCGTTTTTTCTTATAGTCTTTGTCACAAATATTGGAATGATTGAAACAAATGCTATAATAAACCGAAGTTTACTAATTCAAATACTTTTACTCGTGTGACATGACCAGTTGTGTTATTTTAGGTCTTTCATGATGCAAAAAAATTATTAAAAAATTTATATGAATATCTATTGAAGAGCCGAAGATTTTTCAATTTAATGAATTCTCAAGGCAAATTGATTATTAAGCCATCACCGAGTAAAATTGAGATTGAATCTTCAATATTTTAGAATGTATTCAAGGTGATATATGTGGATCAATTCATTCACCATGTGGACCATTTAAATATTTTACGATTTTAATAAATACATTCACAAGATAGTCATATATATGTTTATTATCTATCGGAAACTTGACGTTTTTGAGATTGCTAGCAAATAATTTGATTTCGAGCATAATTTTTAGATTATGTCATTGAAAAAAGTCACCTTGATAATATTGATTAATTTATTTCTCAAGCATTAAATTATTATTGATTGGCTATTAGTATAAAAATTGAACGACATGTTTGTTATGTTTATACTCATAAAGGTTTAGCATAATTATTTGTCAAAAGGTTTTAATCGATAGCTAAACTATTATTTATAAAAACAAAACTCCTTGTTTATATATGGGGACATGCAATCTTATTCGCATCGGATCCATAAGTTATCGAAATTCTCTCCTCTTTAATTGATTTATGGTCATGAGTCAAATATTTCTTATTTAAAAATTTTTTACATTGTAGTATTTATCCATAGTACTCCTCCATAATGAAATAAAATGGGCACTTAAAGGAGATTGGGAATACATGTTGGATTTGAATCCTCTTCAATCTCTTGATTCATGAAAAAGAGGTATTTTTATAGCTTGATTTATCTACTGTCATTTTGATGAAACAGCTTTTTTAATATTAGGGGAGAGAATAAACAAAATAAGCGAGTTGAAAATGTTTTTTTTTAAATTACATGGAGTACTCTATCTTTACATCATATTGAATCTCGTACAAGATAATGTGAACCGAAGTTCAAAAGATAATTCATTTACATGATATTACAAACCAATCGCTAGATGCATTCTCAAATTCTAAATAAGTAACTATAATGCATGTCCTCGTTAAGAATGCTCCTATTAAAATTGATGTCCCAAAAGTATAGTCTATTAATGTTATAGCCAATGAATCTAAAGCACGCCCGAAGCGTGGAAGACCGATCGGTTCTAAAGATAAAAATTCCTAAAAGAAAAGGACAAGATGAAAATATAAAGGATATAAATATTCACAAAACGATTCAAGATATTTCGATAATAGGCTTCCGAAGAAGTCTAAATGCTTAAGAAAAATTAAGAGACTTTGATAAATTATGTCAATACAGGGAGAAAATAAGGATCGAAAAGAAACATTTTTTGTATATAATGTTTCAATTGATATTTTGAATGAAAATAAGGATCCCGAGCCAAAATTTATTGAAGAATGTCGACATAAAGATGATTGGCCTAAATGAAAAAAGCAATCTAGACAGAATTATGTTCTCTTATAAAAGAGTAGTTTTTTGAACCCATCGCTAAAACACCTAAAGATGTTAAGCTAGTGGGATACAAATATGTATTTATGCGAAAATAAAATAAGAAAGATGAGATTATAAGATACAAAGCAAAACTTTTAACATAAAAGTTTTTATAAAGAATTGACATTGACTATAAGGAGACATGTTGTCTTATAATAGTGCAATTGTCTTTTGTTATCTCATTAACCTCACAAAATATATGAAAAACATTCATATGCATGCATATAATAAATGTGATCATAATTTATTTGTTCATTTGAAATAATATTAGTATAAAAGTCCTAGAAGGATTTAAGATGCCAAAAGCATGTAATATGTATTCTCGAGAAAAGAATTCAATTAAATTATAGAGATCTCTATTAGTATTATTTTATTATTTTGTTATTATTTTAGCTTTTAGAAATTCAATTTATATTATACTTTTTTATATTTTATTTTTATATCTATAGTTTATTATTAACCCCGTGTGCATGTGATATAATCACTTCAATGACTATTTATTGTAAGAAAGTTATAAAAAATAACCCTAGTTGTTCATATATTTTATTTGAAAATGGGTTTATTGTATATGTTGATAGCTTAAATATTATTAGAACTCCCGAAGAGATTCCAAGTTCATAAGTTATCTAAAAAGAGAATTCGATGTGAATACATTGGGAAAAAAATGTTATCCAAGCTCGCAATTCGAGCACTCAAAGAATGAGACTTTTATTCATCGATCAATTTGTATAAAAGGTTCTAGAATGATTCTATATAAAGATCATTCATTGACTAGCCCAATAGTATTTCATTTATTTGATATCCAAAAAGATCTTTTTTCACCTCTGAAGATAACGAAAAACTACTTGGTCCTAAAGTACCATATCTTAGTGTCATTGGTGCATTGATATATCTTGCTAATAATACTCGACATGATGTAGTTTTTTCTATAAATTTATTAGCAAGTCATAGTTTTGTTTCAATACAAAGACATTGAAATAAAGTTAAATATATACTACGTTATCTTCAAGAAATAATTGATATGGGCTTATATTACTTCAATAAATTAAAGACAAGATTAATTGGTTATGCGGATGCAGATTATTTATCCGATCTACACGAGCTCAATCACAATTGGTTATATATTTATATATGGAGATCCAGTTATATCTTTGTGTTCTATAAAGCAAACTATAGCCATCACATCTTCAAATCATGTAGAAATATTAATTCACGAGGCAAGTCGAGAATGTATTTGGCTATGATCAACGATCCATTGTATCCGAGAAACATGCGGTTTATCTACTAGCAAAAGAAGTTTCAACAATATCATATGAGGATAATGTCGTTTGCATAATTCTATCGAAGGAATAATACATCAAAGTTACAATCCAATAGATTTATTCGCTAAAGCATTATCTACCATAACTTTTTGAGAAGATGATTCACAAGATTGAAATGCGTTGTCTTAAAGATCTTAAATAATGCCTTCAATAAGGAGAGACCAAAATGGGGATTAATGTGTGCAAAGAATATTTTACTATTTTTCCTTCACTAGGATTTTTTTCCTATTGGGTTTTTTCCTAGTAAGGTTTTAACGAGGCATGTTCATTGTACAATGGATATTCAAGGGGAGTGATATGAAATAATGAATGTCCATCATCATATTCATCCACTTTTCATATCTCCGTTACTCATAATTATTAATATAATTCAATTCATCATTCAATATGAGAAATTGAAAGGGTGATGCAATTGATTGTTCATAATCCCTTCCAATTCTCTCTTCAATTTTGAAGCCTATAAAATAGGCTCGATTATTCATTAGTTGGTGTACAAATTTTCTAGAAAGAATAAGAGAAACTTTGAAGTTATTATCATTTATATTCACATTATAGTGATTTCATTTTCTTGTCATTCTTTTCTTCAATTCTCCTATCATTTCTATATATATATATATATACATTAAAATAAATTTAATATTAAAATAAACTTAATTAGTATTTAATAAAAGATTAAATAATTAATTTAAAGAAAATAGAGACTAATTAAATGGTTTCTGAAAAATAAAGGACTAATTTACAATTTACTCCATAATAATTCATAACTGGTGGGCGAGTGGGGACCACAATAACCCCTTCTTCCGTACAAAATCAATGGAAGAACAGTACTCCAGGACCAGGCTCGCTACTCTCAATAGCCAATCCAAGAGAGACAGCCGCCGCATTGACCTCCACAATCGCCGAGCAGCAGCAATAGCCTCCGGCGGATCGTCGCCCTGCCCCTGCCTGTTAGTATTCTCAGATCCCATCTCTCTAACTCCATCTCTATCTTCTCTTTAAAAAATAAAAACTTAGATTAACTTCACATCGACAAATATGCAATCTTGTAAATTTGGAAGGCTGAGCCACTGAATATTGTGTTAATTGGAGACCCTTTTGAAGAAAAAGTTTTTGATTATTCAATTTTCCATGTTTGATTGTATTTATTATGCTCAATAATCTAAATTTTGTTGGGCCTGCAACTTGTAAAACTTTCCAACCTGTTTAATTATCCAATTTTCTTTAGTCAACATGCATTATAGATTGCTAAGCCGGAGAGTCAAGGCTTATGATAGGTTTGGCTTTCAGAGAGAGAATGCAATAGGAATCAAGATTGTAGAAATGGAGACGGAGATCTGCCAGGTTTGAGGAGAGTTTGGAGTTTGTGGTGTCAAAGAAGATGTTTTCTTGGATTAAGGTTTTGGTGTGGAAAGGAGAGGGGATGGTGGAAAGTTTTTGGTGGGAGTTTGAGTCTGGAAGGCGAAATTGTACCTCAACATCCATTGTAACGATTATTGATTGATTGGTTACTGAGGAAAATGGAGGAAAACACTGATGGCTTTTATGATTGAAGTGGATCTTTCTGATTCGTTGGGTTGTTTAATTATTTTGAGTGGCAGTAAACCGAGGAGTTAGTCTCACAAAGACAGTCTAAGGAAACCACAAGAGTTTCATTTCTTTAATATAACCGGATCCCGTGATAGTTTAATCGACTGTACTATTTATGAAATCCGATTAGGATCTTGAATTGCTTCCATTGGATATCCTGTCTTCTTGATTAAGGTGTTTCGGTAAATATCATATCCGATTTAGAAAGAAAAAAAAAACAATTTGAGAAAGAAGGAAACTATTTCGAAAAAAGCATTGTGAGACCAATGTCTTTGAATGATTATAAAATGTTTTGCTATAAGATATGTTTTCTGTCGATGCTTTTCATTGAATGGAAGTTAGTTTCAGAATGACAACTCTAATATGCAATCTTGTAAATTTGGAAGGCTGAGCCACTGAATATTGTGTTAATTTTGTGTTAATTAGAGACCCTTTTGAAGAAAAAGTTTTTGATTATTCAATTTTCCACGTTTGATTGTAGTTATTATGCTCAATAATCTAAATTTTGTTGGCCCTGCAACTTGTAAAACTTTCCAACCTGTTTAATTATCCAATTTTCTATAGTCAACATGCGTTATAGATTGCTGATTATGAAGTAGTAGTCAGTGAGTGTGAAGCCGGAAGCATAATTTTCTTATATGCTAAATACTGATGCGATAGCAGTGGACTAAAAAGAAGCTTAAAACACCTATAGTGCTGTGCCGGAGAGTCAAGGCTTATGTGAGTTTTGTGGAAATTATAAGGCCCAATAGAATTCTAAGAATGTAAATTTTGTGTAATTATTCTGAATGGGGAACCTTAGAAATTGATCGCTGTTGATTAAACTAGAGTAAAGAAAGTTTCTTGTTGGATTCTAGCTAGGTTTTTAGTGTTCTGAGATACTTGGATTTTACTTATACTCGGCATTCTCTCTTGAACATTAAAAAAGAAGAAGAAGAAGATATTTTTGTGTCTTCTGCCTGCATAATCCAAGTTGCAATGACGATTGATTCACTATGATTAAAATTTTGATAGGTGGTGGGGTAAAATACTTTGCTACTTGAATCATTCAATACTTAAAACAAAGGATTTTGGCAAATGTGAGTTGGAAGTGTTTGTCTGCTTCCTGCAATTCACAGGCTTGCTCTGTATCATTTTGCCTCAGGTACACTTGACTTACCTAAAATTGAGGCGGCGTTTTTTTGCAAAGGAGATAAGACAGTCAGTGTTCTATAATGTCAGCTTCTGCAAAAGTCCTTGCTCTTGACAAGCACACCAAAAATGGAGACTGGACAGTGGTGTTACCTCGTCGAGGCAAGAGGAGGATTTGTTCCCAAAGAAATAGGACTCCAGAAGCAGAACAGCTGCCATGGGTTCCGACTGAGCTTGAATCTGACCCAGACAGAGAAGCAAAGTTGATACAAAAGATGGAAATCTGTATCAAGAAAGTGGAGACCTCTCAATTCTATCAGAACTTTTTGGAGCAAGTAAAAAATCCTGAAATAATGAATTCTTTTTACAAGGTTCTGGGCTTGGAACTGAAGATGCAGATGGTGATATATGGTATTGGCAGCATTGAATCATATGAAACCCCTCGATTTCAGCTTAGCCTTGCAATCTTGATGAAGAGGAAGTTTGATTGGATTGGGAACATAGAGGTTTTTGATCCAATTATTTCTGCAACGGAATCTCGGGTTCTGGAATCCCTTGGTTGTTCCGTTCTATCTGTAAATGAGCAAGGTCGCCGGCGTGCTACAAAGCCAACACTTTTTTACATGCCACATTGTGAGGCAGAGTTATATAACAACCTCTTACTGGCTAACTGGGAGTTAGAACTGCTGAATCATATTGTATTATTTGGAAATAGCTTTGAGATGTATGAGTTCTTGACAGAGATTAAGAACTCCATTATTGTTGATTCAACAGGGCATATTTTGGCTGCTCGAAAATTTGCAGATGAGTATGTAATCAAGACAGTTTCAGATGATTATTTTGCTGCTTTTCATGATTCAAGCTGGCATTTTTTCAGCCCTGATCTTGATACAGAACTGCTGTGTAAAAAATAATCTGTATGCATCTAATATGCTTCAGAAACTTCTTCTTGATTGAAACTTAAGATTTTTTTTTAAAAATATATATATATATTTCAATGGAAATCATCAACTTGTGTGTTTTGCTCTATTTGGAGTGAGATGTTTGCTCTTCGTACATAAACCAGACTAGGGCATGTCAGGATTCTCGATCTTAGCAGGATTACTATGAAACTTGATTTGTACTTGAACCATCCAAGGTTACCTCAGATTTCTCTAAATAGTCTAAATTTTAATTTCTATCACATTGTTGATTAGCTTTACTACTGATTTTCTGTTGATCTTGGTTGGTTTATTTCAGTTCTGTTAAAGCTTCTTTGAAGAGAATTCTATTCCTGCAGTCATAACACAGGATTACTGTTGTCCTTCATTTTGTTCTTGAACTAGAAGGTCCTAAATGATTTTGGCAGGTTCTGTCTCTGATAATGCATGCAATTTGAATGATCTCAGCTTGGTTTTGTGATTTCCTAATAGCCAATTTACCATGCCCCGATTTGTCTCGTATTTGAGAAGTTCAGCAAAACTCTTTTTTTTTTTTTTTTGGCTATGAGGGCTTGTCCCTTCCTCGTTTCTTGTGGTATTTGTCTGAACATGTTTTTGATTTGGACCAAAGACATCAGTGGCTTTTTTAGCTCATCTTAACGCTTGCCTGCCCAGCAAAACTATAGTGAATAGAGAAGCACTTGAGCTTGAATCCTGCATTTGCTACCCTAAAGATTGGAGTGAATTATAAATTAGTCCCTCTTGTTTTTAGAAAATGAATTAATTTACCCCTCTTGTTTTAAAAACTAATTATTTAATCCTCATGTTTTGAAATTTAATTAAAATTTAGTCCTTTTACACTTTTTAATTTATTTTGATTTTTTGTTTTAAGAAGTAAAAAAAAATAGAAATATTGATGAGAAAATAAGAGATTTTGTAGAATAAAAAATAATATTAAATTAAGCATGGTTAACATTGTTGAAATATATATATATATATCTGAAACAAGGGAACTAATTAATTTATTTTTTAAAACTAGAGGGACTAATTTATAATTTACTCCCAAAGATTAAACAAAACCATAAACAAGAAATCCTGTTGCTTATACTTTCTATATGCTAATCTAGAAAGATCATTATCCATTTATTGTGTTAAAAAGATCAATTTAAGGAAAGTACAGATCAGTTTTTTCTTTAATTTAACATTATCAAAAATTGTTAGTCGGTCTTGCAGTTGGGCATCAGCTATCAATAATATACTTAATTGCTAGTTTCTCTTAATAAATGAAAGAAACTATGGTTAAGTGAAAGGGACTTAACAACGCAACTAAATTTGAAAATTTAATCCCCACTATTATGATTTAAACTCTCTTTTAAGAGGAAAAGTTTTATGAATCTTAAATACCATTGCATGCTAGTTTTACTACGAAAGTGTAACCTGACACACAACCCTAAACGAAAAACACTGCAGTTTGAGTGTTTAATTTTTTATTTTTTTTTCTATTTGAACATTCATATATCCTTTTATTTGAATGTCAAAATTTTAATTTTTTTTTTTTTTATGTAAATGCCACAATCATTTGTGATTAGAAACTATTGACGTGTTTGAAATAAATTGTTAGATAAAAGTTTTTAATTGACATTTAATGAAAAATAAGTTATACTTGAATTATTCAGTGCATCCCAACACGTGTACAATTTATAATTTTTTTTTTTGTTTTTTAGCAGAGTTTAGCAGTGTTTCATATTTTAATTAATTTTCAACAATAAATAAAATTATGAACCAAAAAAAACTATAAATAAAATTAAAATTTTATTTGGCAGGTAAAACAGTTTGTGAATGAAAGAGATGGAACAACAACTCAAAGTTCAAATTTTGAAATCAATTATAGTGATGTAAAACAGCTGTGAATTTGCATATATCAACAATTAAAAAACAAATCCCAAATTAATTCAGTGATATTTGATTTGATATTTGTTTTGATAAAATCTTTAGATAGTAATTTCCTGAAGAGCCCATGGACCTTTTTTTTTGAAAAAAAACATCAAATCAAATCAAATATCAGTGCATCCATTCAATGTGCTAGTCCTAGTTTTCATGAAATCTTTTTATAGTAATTTTCCTATTGAACCCACAAAAAAAAAAAAAAAAAGGAAAATTAATTCTCCCACTCAATGTGCTAATTCCAGTTTTGATAAAATCTTTTTATAGTAATTTTCCTCTAGAACCCACAAAAAAAGGAGCAAAATTTATTCACCCATTCAATGTGCTAATTCCAGTTTTGATTAAATCTTTTATAGTAATTTTCCTCTAGAACCCATTAAAAAAAAACTGATCAAAAGTAATTCACCCATTCAATGTGCTAATTCCAGTTTTGATGAAATCTTTTATAGTAGTTTTCTTAAAAAAAAAAAAAACTGAGCAAAATTAATCACCCATTCAATGTTCCATTGGGTCTCAGTTTTTTCTTTTAAAAATCCGATATTTGAAAACGAGCCATAAGTGAATAGATCAAAAGAAAATATTATTATTGTTGTTTTTCGGTTCAGATTTTTTGAAAAAATAGCAACCATCCAAAAAGAACGTCACCGTCACCGTCACCTTTTCTTTCTTATCACATGGTCCACGCTAGAATTTATTTATTTATTTATTTCAAAAATCCACATGCTTTTTTAAAGTAACATGTACAAATCAAATCAGTTGACCCCAATCATAATTAAAATACAAAAAAGGTGAGCAGACATGATTTCCTGTACTTTTTTTATTTTAATTTATTTTTCAATTTTTTAGACAATAAAGTATACACATGAGTGACGTTCCCGTATTCAACGATCCAAAAAATGGAAGCTTCAATTTTTTTTAGAATGTCTTTTTTTAATGAATAAAAATGAGGGAATATATACCTCTTTTATTCCAAACATATTTAAACCGCCTACATGTACGAAAAATTTTAAATTATTTAATAAGTATTTAATAATATTTATTTCATAAATTTATTTTGAAGAGAGATAGACAAAAAAAATTTATTCGAACTAATAAAAAATAATAAGAATATTTTCATCTTTTTTTAAAAAATTAATTATTTTTCATCTATATATCTATTCTATGAAATAAATAAAGGTAGTTATTTTTAGAATAAGATAAAATTTCTCATAAGAAAAATATATTTCACAAATAAAATTAATTTAAAGATATACTATTTCATTCAATGAAACGTAAAAATTGAATTAAATTTTTAAAAAATTTATATCTGAGATGACTATTTATATTATAATAATATTTTCATCTATTTTTATAAAATTAGTTTATAGATAGGAAAGTTTGCTCATTTTATTTATTTTATAAATTCAACTTCTAGACTAATATCTATCAGAATTTGTCTTTTAAATATACTAAAACCATATAAAAGAAACATTTTTAAAATAGTTGAAAAAAATTGAATCTCAGTTTTTGTATACAGTAGTTTAAAGATACCTATAAGGGTAAATCATAATCCTTTTTATTTTAAGAAATAAATTATTTTTTTTGTTTTAAAAATTAATCATTTAGCCTTCATATTTTAAAATCTATTTATAATTGAACTATTTTTGCTTCTTTTTAATTTATTTTAAAAAATAAAAAATATAAAAAATATAGAAAGATCGTTAATAAAATAAGAGATTTCATAGAATAAAAATAATATCAAATTAAGTATGATCAATACTGATTAAATAATTAAATAATAATTTTTAAAATAAAAAAATTAATTTATTTATTTTTTAAAACTAAGGGGATTAATTTATAATTTACTCTTACCTATTACCGTAACGTAAGTAACGTTGTCATGTTGTGGACCATATGTTATTTCCATCATTGCTTTTTACCATATTAATACATAGAAAAATAAAAAACACTTGAAACATCCAAGAAAATTCTAACCGAAAAAAAACAAACAAACAAAAAAGACAAACCGCGGATGTTTCAAACTAGGCGGTGGTGGCGTATCTGTCTGTCTTCGACTCTGAACTCATCAACCCGAACGAAAAAGTTGCTGTTGTAAAAAGCCTTTTCTTTATCCCCTCTCTCTTACTTTTTCTTCTCTCTCTCTCTCTCTCTTAAAAAAAAGAAAGAAAGATATATACTTTATTTATCCACAGTTATCGTTTATTTATTCTTAGCTTTGTATCCAATTCAATCCTCCAAAATCGTCTCTCCACATTTCCCTCTAACAGCAGCAAAAGCAAGCAAAACCCAAAACTAAAAACACGTCTTTTTATCTTTTCGTCTTCCCTCTCCCTTTCTCTCTCTGTCTATCTACCATACCTACCTACCTATCTTTTTATCTGCAGAGACAGGAAAAGCAAACCAGAAAAAAAAGGAGCAAAAACAAAAAACCGAAAGCAACTTCAAAAAACAAAAACTGAAAGCAAAAAAGTAATCCGCCACCGTCAATTTCTTTATCCAGCGGTTAGAATTCTCCGATCGTTTCGTCATCGGATTTGAACGGGTCAGGATTGTTTTTTAAGGTAACCCAAAAAAGGCTCTTTCTTTTTGTTTTCTTTTTCGGCATTTCTAGAGCCGAAATTTAGGGTCAAGGTTAATTCAATCTTGATCTGATCAAGAAACCCAGAAAGACAAGGCTTGAAATTCTTGAAATTGAGTTGATTTTGTGTTCTGGGTCGATGGATGAATTTGAAAATAACCAGGAAATCACAACCAATGCTAAACCCACCACCAAAAATTTCACCCCTAGTTCTATATTCAATAGGTCTGTCACAATGCATTCTACTTCGATTGCTAAGCCTTACCTTCAATCAACATCAAGATTATACAATTCTTTTGAGTCCATGAAAGGAAAGGTCAAAAAGCTTCGTTCTTTGTTCGAATCATCAAAACCCCAGATACCGAACCCCAATGAATTGCAAATTCAAGCAACTCATAAACTACAATCTGTGAAATCGATGGGACCTGAGTATAATAGGTTCCCTTCTTTTGGGTTTATTAGCAACAGTAAAATTCGGTTGCCGGGTACTGAGGATAGGATCGTGGTGTATTTAACAAGTTTGCGAGGAATTCGAAGGACATACGAGGATTGTTATGCGGTGAGGATGATTTTTAGAGGGTTTAGAGTGTGGATTGATGAGAGGGATATTTCGATGGATTCGGCTTATAAGAAGGAGCTGCAAAGTGTGTTGGGAGAGAAAATTGTGAGCTTGCCGCAGGTGTTTATGAGGGGGAATCATGTGGGTGGTGCTGAGGTGATTAAGCAAATGTTTGAGACGGGCGAACTGGCAAGGGTTCTTGATGGGTTTCCAAGACGGCAGCCTGGGTTTGTTTGTGAAGGGTGTGGGGATGTAAGGTTTGTGCCCTGTGGGAATTGCAGTGGGAGTAGGAAGTTGTTTGATGAAGATGAAGGGGTAATCAAGAGATGCTTGGAATGTAATGAGAATGGATTGATTCGGTGCCCGGATTGCTGCTCTTGATTGAACTTGGGTGCACACGCCTGGTTTAGTGCGCACTTTCAGTTGTCTTATTGCTGTATGTAATCAATGATGGGTTGGATTCAAAATGCTCTTTTGGATTCCTGGGGTTTTTTTCATTTTGTTTATTGTATTTACATTGGTCAGGGGGGCTGATGTGGGTTGTTTTATGAAGAGTGTCTTGAACAATAATAGTTACTAAGTGTTATCAAAACTCCAAATTGGTTTTGGTAGTTTTGTTTGTATTTTACACAGGGGGAGATTATTTCTCCTTTGTGAGAATGTAAATATCTAGTACTATTGTATTGCAAAAGAGTTTGCAAATGATGGATTGTATTGAAAATGGGTGCTTTTAAACCCAAACTTTCTGTACTTAAATCTTTTATGCCATCGAAAGTGTAGATGTTTTCTCCTATTCCTAATTTCCTATTGTCTAGTGTTAGATGAACAGTGCAGACATGAATGTAAGGTAAACTCAAAAAGTTTCTTTGCATTTGTGGTTGTCTTTGTTGATTGTTTTTATGTTGGGAGATCTTGTTTTCTTTCTGAATAGCAGCAGTACATGGTGGATTTGGTCTCTACATGTTGTTTTCGCTTTTCTGCTTCACAAAGTATTTCCCTTTCTGCTGGGAATGAATAATTGTGTACTTAAGGATAAGCTGGCAAAGCTATTGCATAATTTGCTTGTGTATGTTGTGTTAACTTAATGTTTGAGAGAGTTTTTTTTTTCCCACCTATAATGTAAAAAAATTGTATTTGTGATATACTTATGAATCGATGATGCAATGCCCTGATTATGGTTATTTGATTTCTTTAATTCGCTGCAACCTTTTTGTGGATTTGGTTCATCCTCTCCGCCACAAATATTTAACATACGGAGATGTAAGTGTGGTTATATGCAAATATTGCACTTTGCAGAATATTAGATATTTGTTTGGGTTGCTCGGAGGAGTGAATTAGCTATATCTCCTTTTCCAAAAACAGTTAAGTCTTTGGCTCTTTTCAGGGGATTGATGTAAACCATTGGCGGATGCCTTTAGCACCGCCCAGCCCTGAGTACTGCTCCGGCCAGTTTGTTTTCTTGTATCTACATCTTTACTAACTACCAGCAAAAAGACTGAACTTTACATCCTGTGTAGTAGATTCTGATGGTCATGCCGTTTTTCATGGATCGAGGATTTTTTTGGCTGATTGAAAAAAACTTATAGCTGTCTGAGCTTCCGTCATACTGATTGACATATCAGACCTATCTTATTCTGTTTGCAACCATCTTCAAACAAACAAGGAGAATTGTGAGACCGAATGGATTGATGATCTTATAGCTGCCTGAGCTTCCAGTAGGGTCAAATCCACTTTGGTTAACTTATAGCTGTCTGAGCTTCCATCATAGTGATTGAAACATCAGACCAGTCTTGGTAGGATAGTAGGAGACATTTGATTGATGATCTTATCTCAAACCATTTCTTTTTCATTGTGAATTATAAGATCTGTTTATCTTTCTCTGTTTTTTTTTTTTCAATTTTTTTTCAAACTGGTAGGGATATATATGCTCCAACTTGAAGTGTTTTCTGTTGGTGCTTTCACTGAATGGAAATTAGTTTCAGAATGACAACTCAAATGAGTGGGTTGGTGCTCACGGATAAACTGACCTTGTCTGTCCAATCCAACCCTATTTCTGTCAAACAAACAAATTGGATGACAATCAGGCATTCAGTTATGGATGAAATATAACCTGAAAGTCTCGTATGAGAACATCTAGAAACAAATTTTAAAGAATGAAGCAAGAGAAGAGTCAAGAACAATAATGCCATTCCATAAACTAGTACAAAAGAACTGCAAATTTAATATGAGAGCATCATAAAGAGACTTGATTCACTCATTCCTTGCTTGAATACAATTCAAAAAACTACATTCTTTCTCTTATTAGGGCAATTTCCCAGATCGAAAAACTGCAAACTTGTTAGATTTTGAGTAGGAAAACTCAATCCCATTATCCTTTAATAACCCTTCAATCGACTCCTTATCTTTCTCAGGCTCTTTACTCTCACACTCAATCTCATAACTAGTTCCAAAATCATAAATTGTCTCATCAAGCTCAATTTTCAAGCCTTTCCAGTCAAACACTTGCCTCACATTCTTAAACCCACCCAAACAAACAAGACCCGCGTTTTCTCCAACCCCAAACTCCCTTCTGACTCTCTGTATTATCTTTGAACTCTCCAGCAACCCTATTAACTTCCAGGGCTCGGCAACGCACATGCGGGCAATCATGGGGTCAACGGGCTCTTCTTGCTCTTCAACGCGGCTTATGCCATTTGACAGGATAGGTTTGGCTTTGAGAGAGAGGATGCAATAGGAATCAAGATTGTAGAAACGGAGACGGAGAGCTGCGAGGTTTGAGGAGAGTTTGGAGTTTGTGGTGTCAAAGAAGATGTTTTCTTGGATCAAGGTTTTGGTGTGGAAAGGAGAGAGGATGGTAGAAAGTTTTTGGTGGGAGTTTGAGTCTGGAATCCGAAATTTTACCTCAACTTCCATTGTAATAATTATTGATCGATTGGTTGCTGAGAAAACGGAGGAAAACACTGATGGTTTTATGATTGAAGTGGATCTTTCTGATTCGTTGGGTTGTTTAATTATTCTGAGTGGCAGTAAAGCCAGGTGTTAGCATCACAAAGAGAGGATAAGGAAACCACAAGAGTTTCATTTCTTTATGCCTACATGGGTATAAAAACTACGCTGCCCTTGAAAAGTTTGAAGGCATTTGCTGTTTATATACTCCATGTGTATGACCGGATCCCGTGATAGTTTCATCGACGGTACTATTTATGAAATCCGATTAGGGTCTAGAATCGCTTCCATTGGATGTCCCGTCTTCTTGATTAAGGTGTTTCGGTAAATATCATATCCGATTTAGAAAAAAATAAAATAAACAACTAGAGAAAGAAGGAAACTATTTCGAGAAAAGCACGGTAAGACCAATGTCTTTGAATGATCATAAAATGTTTTGCAATATGATATGTTTTCTGTTGGTGCTTTTCATTGAATGGAAGTTAGTTTCAGAATGACAACTCTAATGAGTTGTTGCTTGCAGAAAACTGACCTCATCGATCCAATCCTATCACAATCGCAACCATTCGTTAAACAAATAGGATGCCAATCGGGCATGCATTGTGGATAAAGGAAAAATATACCTGAAAGTCTAGCAAATTTTAACGAATTCAGAAAGTAGAGTCAGGAATAATGTCATTCCAAAAACCTGTGGAGAAATACAAATTTGACATGAGACCATGACAATTGTGCAGACAAAAGATAGCAGGGAAGCATTATCTTCTATTGTGTAGGCATTCATATACTTCAAATTCTCATCCATGTACCTATTATTTGAATTTGTAAACAGTAAAGTTCATTTCTAAACTACTGAGAATTGGTTTCCACATCAACTTCATATGGAAACTAGTCTAGCAGCTAAGAGACAAAAGAGACCTTATGGTTTCTCTGGACCTGGTGTTTTAAGAATTGAAATCACACCTCACACCACAAGCACCTGTCTAGTCGTTTGGGAATGATAGGAGCTTTCAATAAATTTCAGCACAAAATGATTACCAACCTTGATATTTTGTTTAACTTGTAGCATTAGTGATTATTGATCAGTGTCTTCTGTTTTTCTTTATGAAATTATTTCCAGAAAAGATATAGGTCCTTCTCGGCATAGGTATTTTTGGAAAATAAAACTGGAAATAAATAGGAATATTATATTCTCACGAACAAAGCACATCAGAGAAAATGAAACCATTCAGCTCAAATGAGTTGTTCCATTTTGTTCTCTAAGGTTGGAATTTCCTGCCTGGAGCCCTTTCTTTTGGCTACTGAGAAACCATGTAAGCACTTAGTTTCTTGAACTATCCACCTGATTTCAATGCCGTCATATCTCTTCAGATTTTCCTGTTATTATTCATATCTTGTACAAGTATTTTTGTCCAAAAGGGTTTCTGTTTTCCCAGCAGAGTGATAGTTGCACAAAATGGAATTTAGTGTTAATTTTCAGGGAAACTAGCAAACTGGCAAATTTAGAGTCAGAATAGAAGCTACCCAACCTGACTAACCTTTTGAATGCTCATTGACAAAAATCATGCAAACTATATACAATTCATTAATGAAAATCCTAATAATCCCTGTCTGACAATATTCATGATGAAACAAGGGCTACAACAGTTTACAGAGCAGCAGGCTAAAAGGCTCTTCCTTTGTGAATTCACCATTCGAAGCCAATTTCAAATATGGCATCACAATGTTTGTAGTTTCTTATGTGTAGTCTCTACGTAACTACTGGGTAAGAGGAACGCATTCAAGCTCAATCTCGAGCACCCCTCTCTCTACATTCTTTAGCTTGAGACTGATTTCTTGTTTTACCTTCCCATCTGTTAGTGTGATAACACCATCTTTAACAAGGGTGTTTTCCTGGCCTGCTATCCATTTACCAAGCTGCATTGACTCGGTGATGGTTGAATTCTCATAAGCTTTAGCAGCAGCAACAAGTGGTTGAATGTCTATCTCAGCCTCACCCATGAAGTCATCAGTTGAGAATTTATCCTTGTCGTAAACAAGCTGCATACATCCACCTGGAATTTTAAGCATCCATAACCAAAGACCGAAAACAGAAGCTTGCTAACATGGTATTAATGTTTTCAAAGCTCCATGGAAGTGGAATAATAAGATCGTTACAAACACTACAACAAGGTACTTGTCTTATCTCAGTGTTCTCCTAGCACCACAAGGTTATTTCCTGTTCAAAAGAATAGTACCAAAAAGTACCTAACATGAATATAGTAGAACGTATCATACAGTTTTTATGTACTTCCAATAATGCTTTTAAATGTATTGTTCAACGGTAAGCAACAGATTGCATCGCACCTGTTACTAATGATTCTTCTATTATAGCTACGTCCTCTTTGCCGCACTGATGGCATCCTCTGTCAACCTTGATTGAATATTTTATGGTATTGATGATTATATAGATTATCAAGGAAATAGATACATGATACTGCAAGCCGTCCAACCTCACAAACTAAAGATTTTGAAACTTCCTCTACAGTTTGAGCATCAAGAAGAGGTGGATGGAATCATGGTTTACAGAAGATTCTATCTTCTCAATAGAGACAAACATGCATATCAAATGTGACTCGACAGAAATTAAAAGAAGAAGAAGCAAACTATATTTTTCGGTACAAAATGGCAAACAGGAATAAAGAATTCAGAAAAGGAATAGTTAATCCACATATGTGTCAGAAGTTGTATATGTCATGAATCATGATGGTTGGATTGGTGATTTCCAGAGTTTTTGTGTTAATTCCACACCAGGAAATTTGAAACAACTTACCACTTTTAGAGGAGGAATCTGTTCTGGAATTGACAACATAAGACTTTCGTTCCAGATTGGATTCAAATTGTTCTTAATGACGCGTGTCCTCACTGACTGCAAAAACGAATGACAAAGAACGTGCATTATTAACAGGGTTATTAAACCTCACTCCATTTCATATCAACAGAGTTATGAGGAGGAGAGTCTCACTTGCTGGCCCAATGCAATGATAACATATGGGTCACTGGTCATCACATCCCGGACAGCTAGGTTGGTTCCTTTGACTACATTAACCTTTATTAATCCAACAAATTCAACCATACCTGCCTATAAACAGCATGTTTAAAGCAACAGAATCAGCAAGTTCTGCTGAAAACTCAAGATAGGATGCATCACATTTTTCATCTACCGCAAACCATACATAATGACGGTTTGTGATACGAATTATTTCATACTAGCATAATTTGTGTATATTATGTTTGTGCATGCATGCACATGATATTAACTTCTCATAAATGATAACACTGCAGCAGAAGGGGCACAGTAACTTGTATTTGTATGCACCACTGTAAATGACCTTCATTAATGTTTCATTATATCATCTAAACCAATATGTTCTTGACCAAAAAAATGCTTGCATTAATCATTTCAATTGTTTGATGGCTGCTCATCTGTGACCAAGCATATATAAAAGAAAGCATTTGCAGTAACAGATCTTGTTCTAGCTTGCTATAAAAAGAGAAGGTGAACTCATAATCCACAATGTAATATAAGTACATTCGTGAAACCAGAATTCATTACCAAAGAGTTGCTCTTTTTTGTGTGCTTGTGCTCAGAGTCTTTTCTTGCCCAGCTGTTACGAAATGCATTCCCAATGCGATGCCTGGTTGCTTGTTTTTCAAACTGTTTCTTATCTTGGGAAGAAGAATTACTTGAAGAACTAGAGGATAATGAACTTCTAGGACCCGGAAATGGGCAGGACATTTGTTCATCACAGTTTGAAAATTGCTTCTGCTCATATTTTCTCCTGAGTATTCAGAAAGTAAATATCTGATTTCATATGATTTTCTGATATACATAAGATCAGTGCAGAACTAATATTACCTAATAAAATCAGAACGCTCCTCTATAGAGGCATCTGGTTTAGGTTTTCTATAATCATCGGGAATAGAAGCTTCATATTTCTTGTTTACAGCAATATTACCACCCAAACCTATCAGACTGTTCACTTGTTCATCTGTCCATTCATCTAGCTTGATTGATAGAACCTGACAGTAGAGAAAAATACAGTATTAACATACCAAACCAATATGGAGGGATAGAAAAGGGATAGAGTAATGAGAGAATATTGGAATAAATAATTTGTTATAGTAACATTCCGATTGCTCAAGAGTGTGCAGTAGATTTTCTACCAGCCTACTGCCACTAGACAAGGTTTCTAGTGGCTTCTTATCATGCTGACTGCAGGCTTAGAATAAACTGAATTGTGAAGATTAAAAATGGCTTAACTACTCATTTATAAGCTGAGAAAATACAGACAGAACCAAGCAGCTAGGTTGAAAAGGGTGGCTTTGTTAACCTCTCTTCGGAAGAGTTCTTCATTAGAAAGCTGAAATTTCTCCCAAATTAGATACCACATGCCTAATGGTACTAAATCACAAGAGTATAAGATCAAACGATATGAAGTTATAAATCTTGCTTTACAGGCAAAATCGACAAGTCAAGTTTCAAAACCACACCTTCGTTAGATGCACCCCAAGGCTTCTGTGAACACCCGAACACTTGATACAAATAAACGCGCCATAACTTATTGACCTGACAGCCAAAAATGATTCAGTCAAAAAGAAATAGATAACCAAGCACCAATAGTCAAGTAAGAGGCACTGATATCAGGTGTTGAGGAAAAGAAATTGCATCTGCACTCTGTGCCTGGGCCTTTGCCTCAGTTGTAAAAGGGTGGCACAAAGTGGGAGTTTTGGTACTAACCAACAAGACAAATATCCTGTGCTTTTATGTGAAATTGTGACCAAAAAGTGAGAGGAGTAAAAGCATATTGTAGTTCGACGGAGAAAAATATTTCAAGCATATGTGTAAAAAATCAACAATTTCCTTTGCATTATCCATCCATGTCGAAGAATAAAATTTAAAACTGATTCTAAAGTCAAAATCCATGTTC